CCACCAAGCTTTTTTCTTTTTCAATTCTTCGTTTGATGTGCGAGGATAAGCGCAAAATATTTGCCAACCAGCCAGCTAGTCAGCCGGCCAGCCAGCCAGCCAGCCAGCCAGCCAGTTAGTCAGCCAGCGAGTCAAACAATGATATCCAACATATCTGCTGTCTGCTCGCAACGTTTTGCGTGCGGAAAATGCAAGTGATGCAGGTGAGATGCAAGTCAAGGCGTTGACGGCGTCTCGACAGCAGCGGAAGTTGTAGCTCTTGCTATCCATGCCGGAAAGCAGTCGACAAGCTGAACAGTTGCATGTGCAATATTTCACAGAAGAAACAGCGAACGGGCCAGTCAGACACCAAGCTACACTCACACATATGCACATTGATTACTCGCGCCGCAAATGAGCTGTGGCTCTGCTAGCTCAGTGCCAAAGCCAAAAAGATGCGCAAAATGTCAACGGGGCCAACGAACGCGGACCGACCGACCGAGCGGCCAACTGACAACAACTGACAACTGACAACCAGCAACTGACATAGCCTAGAAAGCAAAAAGTGCCGCTATGAGAATGGACGAATGAGTGTGCTCTTAACTCATATTGCATTCGCATGGCATCGCATAGCATTGCTCGAGCTGAAGCTAAGGCCATCCGCATGCAGCATTGTCAGGCTTTGTGCCGTGGCGTGGCATGTGAAATAAAACTCCCGTAAGCAGACAGCCAGCCTCTAAGATCTAAGAGCGCAAGTAAAACTGGAAGACAAGTGTAGCTGACACCGAGTTGCTCTTCTTGAAGAGATTATTGACAACTAGTACGTGCGTTTGCTGAAGGCTAAAAACATTAATAGAAAAGAAAATGTTGTCTGAAAGCGGACTTAAGCATATTTACTCAAATATAGTTAGCTACTTTGGCGTTGCCAGTCTAATGGCAGCTTGTAATATGCCCCAACTCGATGAGAGTATGCCAAATGTTGAGGCATCTCTCGACAGCGGGAACAAACCGACAAATAGTAAGCCGGGACGAACCTTGACTGAGCTGCAGGAATTACGCAAATCTCGTTTGTTGAATGTGTTTTCAGTTAGGTGAAGATGCGCCGGCATCAACGTTTCAGCCTCAATTGGTATGTGCCGTGAGGCGGGCAGGGCGGTTCCTGGAGCCGAGGCGGCATGGACATAAATCTGTTTTAAGCATTTTGGCTCCAGCTTGTTTTGTGCATAACGTTGACGATGTCGACGACTGCGACACGATGTAGCTGCCATTGCTCTGTCCCATACTCTGCTTCATCTCTCTTCTATATGTCGCCGTTTTGTCTCTGACATTGCAAACGACTGCGTTGCTTTTTTATATTTTTATTTTTGCTTTTGCCTTGGCTTTGTTTGCTCGCAGCAGCTTAAAACTCATAATGCCGTTATAAACACAAACGAATGTGTGTATCTGTGTGTTTGTGTGTGTTGTTGTATCGTTGTCAAAGGTCAGCGCACGTTTAAGCCAAGCAGCGCAATTAAACGCACAATGCAATCGTGGAAGGCAGCAAAAGCAGCAAAAGCTAAGGATACAAACAGACAGATGTGGCTACAGGGTTACAGTTAGAGATACATTTGTAGAGGTGTAATCTCAGCTCTTCGGAGCAGCAGACCAACTAAGTTGCAGTGAGTGGCTAATTGCGCACAAAGTTGCGCTGGATAATCCCCGACTGCACATGCTGAGAGTGAACTATGTGTTAATTATGTTAAATTCAAAGATGTTGCACATCAGAGACCAGATTCAGATTCAGATTCAGATTCAGATTGTGATTCATTTTTCACACAATTCCCTGGTCGTGGCAATGTGGGTTAGTCACGTAGCTAAAGTTTTGGCGGCAATGGCGTTGATTAAGTTAACCAAAAGACGCTGACGGGATTTTGTGGGCTGGGGAAGTTTCGGAAAGTGTCGCCCCCGTTGTCTTTAGACAGCAGGCAGCTCGAATCGAGTGCTCTGCATGGCAGAGTGGAGGGGACACACACGCGCATGTGGTATATTTTCTTGTATTCCACTTGCCGCTCACTAATTAAGTTGCATGGCAAAAGTTCTTCGCCGACAGCTGACAAGAAAAGCGCTTGGTAAAAATACAGACAACTTCAGTATATGGGGCATTTCGAGTGGTCGTTCAATGTGGAACAGAGCAGCTGGGTGTGGGAGTGGCTAAAAGTGTAAGCTCATTAAGTGGGTTTTCCGGCTAGCGTTGGATTTGCCGTCAGTCGCCGCCAACAGCTACTCCAGAAACATCAAAGTAAGCATAATTTGATTAAGACATTTAAGCCAAATACCTAATCATCATTAGCATCAACATAATCATCGGGCTGGCTCATGGCTCATCGAAAAATCAGCACTCATGCCAGCCTTTGATGCCCTCGACTTGTATACATCATTGATTCTCAGCAAGGCGAACGTAATTTATTGAACCCGGCAACCAAGTGACTTACGGACCAAAACCAATAACCAGAGACGAGGGTGGACACCGCCCTGTCTGCCCTGACTGCCCTGACTGCCTGTCTGCCAAGCCCTAGCCTGCCAGACAACTTGGTCAAACCTTTTGGGACTTAAATGCACAAGTTTTTCCGGACTTGAGCCGAGTTTGTGATTAATTGCTGGCCATTGCGGCCTTTACATGTTACGTTGATTTTAAGCCATAAGTTTGTTAAAGGCTTTTAGGCATGCATGAGGCGTAGTTCATTAGAAACGAAATGAATGGTCTATATTAGTTCGAGCCGGGCTTTCCGTATTGATGAGGCAGAAGGGCCTTTAAAAGCCTTAAAGTACGCATAACCCACAGAGATATGACTTTCTCTGCTTATACTCAAAATTACTTAAGCCCGTGCAGATTGCTCTGAAATTGAGAATTGACTTTTATAGAGGTTGCTCAACAATGTATTCTTAAGGCTTAAGTCAGCTTTTCTTTAAGTCTTGGTTTATTTCCAAACATTTGATTTCAAACAATTTCTAGTGGAAGAGTGCAACATTGCTACAAGTTTCATGGAATCTCTGAATGTACTTTAAATTGAAGCCACAATAATATATCCATTTTTCACATCACCACATAGCATAACGCATTTTGTTGTGAAAGGTGCCAAGCTCTTGCAGAAGATTACATTACACATTAAGTATTCTATTTTCGAGATAGAGTTGGCAGATTTTCGTTGCGAAGCTCGCTGGAAACTCGGTTTCTAAGTAAATGGCAGTCAACGATATCACGAGCTCTCATGTAGCTTATACATTTTTAAAATGCACTTTTCTACTTATGTCCTTACGTAAAAGCACTGACAACAATGCAGCAACAGGCAATAGGCAACAGGCAGCAGGCAGCAGGCAGCAGGCAGCAGGCGGCAGGCGGCAGGCTATGGGCGACAACAGTTGCAAGCTGAAAGTTGCAAGTTGAAAGCAAGAATAAGGACATGCATCGTTCTGCTTGTAGTTGAACATTTTACGAGTCATTGTTTAATGTGCTTGCTTGCACAACGTCCTGTTTTACACGTACTCTCGTATTTCTAATGCAATTTTACAGGACATTGCATTAAGAGTTTAGCAGCTGTCACTGTCAATGTGTCATTTGTGTTGTTCTTTTGCTTCCGTTGTGCTCTGCACTCGCCTGTCATGCAATTGACAATTAGTTTTTGAGTATTATTCACATTGCATGCTTGGCTGAGGCTAACAATAACGGGGCGATAGGCAAGAGGTCAATTCCAGCTTGACCTTTTGAAAGACTGCACGTGCTGTTATATACAGATTATCGCAAGGCAAGCGTAATTCTTGGGCCCTCAATTCCCAAATGACAGCTTACAATCGCTTTCAGCAGTTCATTGCCGCGTAGCATCAGATCTCTGGAGTTGGTTTGTTCTTTTGCTGGTCAGCAAAAGGTTTAACATAAATTCAAAGGGCGCTGCCAATGGTAGCCTCAGCTTCGGATTGTTCACACTTGGCAACCATTAAGTTTATGACGCAACAACAATGAAACATGCCCAATACAAAAGGGATGCAGGCTGGATGCGAGCATCTCACTGGCCACCAGGGGATGTTTGGTCAAGCCAAAATACTATAAATAAAACATGGCAGTGTTGGGCATGCCTAACCACCCAAAGCACCGCTTCGCCCGCCCACGCCTGTCCGCAAAACAAGAAAAAAGCGCAACAAAAATGTAGCTGCTCCGAGAAGTCAGAAAGGGTCTAGTGACGCTCTGAAGTGTCTGGTCAACGCCAAAAATCAAGCATGTTGAGCGCCAGCTGCGGCAGACAATGAAGAAGCAGCCATGCCACAGCATGTGGAATGTGGAATGTGTGTGGGCTTGTGGTTAACAATGGTACGCCTCCTGATCCATAGTTCGGCTGTTCTGCGGTTGCAGCTGTGCCCGAACGCCCTTGGGGAATCGACTCAATTTATTATTGGCGCTAGTCAAAAGCCAAAAACAAAAATTGGCTTTTTAAAGCGTTTGCAGCCCGCACACGAATTAAATTAAATCCACAACAACAAAAACGCGTTGGCTTCGGCGACCAGCAAATGTTAAAAAGGGGGCCAGTGTGGGACACTGTCTGGACCAAGGCGTGGCATTTAGCGCGCAATGTTTTTTATCAGAAAAAAAGGAGCAATTTTCCAATTGAATAATTGTCGCCGGCAAGTTTTCACTTTTGTTGGCCGGACGCAGCCAAGCAGGAAGATAGCAGCAAAAGCAGAGCGGCGCAGCCGGACGACAGGACGACAGGACGACAAGATGGCAAACGAGGCAATGGCCGTGTCCATTCAATGGCTCAACAGTTTGCCAGTGTTTCACTGTTTCAAGGCTCTAAGTGTTTGCCTGGCCATTGAATAGATTTTGCCAGTGCCTTGCTTGGCCAACGATTTCACTATCTGCACTGTCTCTGCGCTACGGGCTCCCTCTCTCTGTCTGTCGCTCCCTCTTGGCATATCTCTTCATCTCATAGCGTTTTTATCTCTATGCTGCTGCACAGCCTTTTAACAACAATTTTCTTGTCTATTTTCAGGATGATTTGCCGGGCCAAGCGCTGCTGGATGTCGTTTTTGCCAGGCTCAATTTAATCGAGACTTCATACTTTGGCATTCGCTATATAGACGATGAGAATCAAACGGTAAGTGGCGGCAGGGACGGCGTCCTGCGCACAGGATATGGCAACTGACTGGCGTATCCTGCTCTGCCGGTTCTCTTGCTGCTGTGCAAACATATTGGTTTTTGAAATTCATTTTCGTTTTCATTGAAATTCATTGAGGCGCATTGAGGGGCGTTAAGAAACGAAAACAAAAAGTCGAGCTCGGCCAACTCTTTGAGCCTTTGACGCAGCCGGCGAGACACCCACGCCCGCAAGGCAAATTATATAATTTCGCTTTCAGAGAGTCGAGCGGCGGACGCAGGCAGCCAGGGGGTCTGTGTTGCCTTGGCCTTTCATTGAAATTCACTTTTATGCCACTTGTCACACGCACATTAGTGCCTGCGTGTCGTCGCCAGCTTTTATGTGTGGCTATAAAAACGGGCATATGGGCTCACCTGTCAACTTCAAGCTGACGCGCACACCTGCGAGTCGTGTGTGTTATCATTTTTAAATTTATATTTCTATTTCCTTTGTTTGGGCCCATTTATAGCACTGGCTGGATCCAGCGTCACGCATCTCTCGCCAGCTGAAGCCCAAATCGGATCCCTACGACTTGTACTTTGGTGTCAAGTTCTATGCCGCCGATCCATGCAAACTGCTCGAAGAAATAACGAGGTAAGTTGAATCCATATTAAAACAATTAAGCTCAAAGTGCATGAAATATTATTTTAAATATTTGCATTAAATGAATTCCAATAAGTAAATTATGCAGCTCTTTTTAAGGGCAGGGCCTTTTTTCAATAATACAAATTTTTTACATTTAAATGCTTGGCATTTTATTAAATGAATTCAATTTATTAATTGCCACACACTCGCCACTCAATAGCCAACAACAAATTAAACGAGTTGACGGCCAGAGGTCCTCGACAGAGGGCAGACAACTAATGGATGGTGAAATAATGCTTTTAATGAATTTATGCATAGTATGCACATCTAGCAAAATAAATTGAATAAAAACCACTTTTGACGAGAATGACCTGCTGGAAGATACCCTAAAATTATAAAATTATATTATAAAAATCTGAAAAAGATTTTTCTATTATTTTTTGCTGCACTTTCAGATTTAATGAGTTTAATGAGTCTAGATAAAAATTTTAAAATATTATATTTTGACTTAAACGAGTCAGAATATAAAACTGACTGAAGGATTGTTAAGAGATCAATCATAAATTATAGATTCCTCAATATTTTATGCCATACCCAGATGTTTATAATTACGTAGTATACTCTCCTTTTGTCAATTTGATAAATAAATGGGTATTAAAATGGCAATCGTCATAAAGTTTTGGTACGGGAAATTGCAAAAATCCCAAAGGATAATTGGGCAGGCAGCCAGGCGGCTCTATGGTGGTCCAGAGCGCTCTTATGTGTACGTGAAATGTGCTTTAGCTATGCAGTTAGCTGCATCCATCAAGCATTTGGTGTGTGCAAATATTTGCGCTTAATACGACGACACGTAGCAGCCATAATCGTCACCAAGTGGGGACGCCAACTGGATCACCAGGAAATCTGTTCGACTGGACTGAAGCCTGGGCCTGGCGAGGGGGGCACGGGGGCAACGTTAACGGATGCCAATCGCTGGCCAAACATCATCAAAACTCGTACGCGCGGACTGCCAACGGTTGAGCTAATATTGGCGCATATAAATCCAGTGAAATGCAGTTAAATGCACTGAAATGAAATGCACTTATAACGCGGTGGCAGTTGGCGATTTTGCTGAATATTACTGAAGTGCAGCGAGTGGAGGGAAATTTTGTTATTTTAGCTATACAAAGTCTGCGGCACACAATTAATGGCAATTGACTTTGACGGCAAGTTGCATGCGCCACATTGTGCTTCAAGTGCCACCAGCCATTGGATAGTTGCAATGAGTTTGCTCACAACATTCAATACACACCATAATATACAGCAAGCCATTTGATATATATAGATGAAATCAAAGCTAAGCAAACAATTAACGAGAGCCTGCGGCACATATGTTGTGGAAATATGTACCGACCTCTTCAGTGTTGCGGTTCTTGTTGTTATCAGTGAAATGCTCAAAGTGGGGCATATTGGAGCTATGACTCCTATTTGATTTATTTGGTATTTCGAATCTCTATGTTAGGGTAATGATCCCAGAAAGTCATTTCATATACAGAAAAGTGATAGTGTCTTTCAATATTTCTATGAAACCTTTTTATAAGGTAGAAAACAGCTTTGAGTTTAATTCATACAATCCTGATCTTGCAGGGTATTTTCCAGTCAGACACTCTAACTTCTTGTTTATTTGTTAAATGATTTTGTCTTGCAAAGTAAACAGTTTGTTTGGGTGTTGCGTTTTGTGTGTGCTTAGGCCAAACATCAAAGTCGTATCCAAATAATTTTATTCGGCGATTTGTTTGCCAACTTGTTAACTGCTTCCATGACGGGTTGCGTCCTTTGTTGTTGTTGTTGTGGCTATAGAGACAACTAATTAAATTTGTTCACTTTTATTTATACGACAGATATCAACTCTTCTTGCAAGTCAAACAGGATGTGCTACAGGGACGTCTGCCCGTAGCCTTTGAACTGGCCGCCGAACTGGGCGCCTTTGTGGTGCAATGTAAGTACAACCACAAAGAAAGCTGGAGGACGTCAGCTAAATCAATTTGTTAATCTCTCCCTCACTAGCCGAATTGGGTGACTATGATCAGCGACGCCATTCGAAGGGCTATGTGTCGGAGTTTCGCCTGCTGCCCAACCAGAGCAGCGAGTTGGAAACCCGCGTCTCAGAACTGCATCAACAGCTCAAGGGCATGTCACCATCCAGCGCCGAGCTGAACTATTTGGACAAAGTCAAATGGCATGACATGTATGGCGTTGACTTGCATCCCGTGCTGGTAAGTGTACATATGTTGTGCTTGGCTTATCCCTTCCTTATTCCCTGCCTAAACCAAGAGCAGCCACATCACGGAGTTTGAATCGTTGCCCCTGCAGCTCCGCTGCCCCGCTGCTCTGCACGCAGCCAGCCATAAAAGGGGTCAGAGCAAATGCAAAGTTTAATTTCATTTCATGGCAAATATTATAAATCATTTGCTCACACACATTTCTGGGGACCAACGCAATGATTACCCCAAGCCGCCCCGTCCACAGACACGCCTGGTCTGTCTCCAGTCCAGACTCTACCGATATCCACACCCCCCCTTGTCCCATTCGTATGTCGTGGCCGCTTTTGTGCTGCGTAAGTTGGCACTTCATTTGCATTTTTTATTGCCCTTTACTTTGATATCAAACCTCAATAAATCACCAGCTGTGTTTGTATTCCAGCTACACATGTGTGGGGAGTGCGTACGCAGGGGTGTTGGGGCGACGCTGTAAACCCTTGTACTCCACATGCCTGTGGTATGTGTGCTCCCGTCTACTTCTGTTTGTTTATAGACACAAATCATTGACTATCGCGGCGCCAGTTGCCAGTTGCCAGCCAACACGGCTCTCCATATCCCTGTCCGGTCTACCCTCATTCCTTTGAAACGTCTTTGTGCTCGCTCTGCTTTTTAATTTAATTAACAGCTAAAATTACATTTATTTTGTGTTGTGTGCTTTTTGCTTTATGTGAGTGGGTTAACGTGGGTGGGCCATAAAGCGTCGCACAGCTGCTAATAGGCCAAGCTGGCCAAAACTTTGCTCTCTTGTTAACACACAAATAGCCAAAAACTTTCTGCTGAAACAATGAGCGAGTCTCTCTCTCCCTCCGTAGCTTCTTTGTTCTCCAAAAGAGCCTCTAACTCGAACTTCTGCTTGAACTTAGCTCATTCTCGATTCTATTTTGTTTTGTGTTTTTCAGGGCGAGGACAGTGTGGAGTACTTTCTGGGCCTGACGCCTAGCGGGATTGTGGTGCTGCGCAACAAGACGACGGTGGCTCATTACTATTGGCCGCGCATTGCCAAAGTTTATTATAAAGGACGCTATTTTATGCTCAGGATAAGCGATAAAAATGTAAATTTCAACGAGTCAGGCAACAATGCCAAAGCCCGATGACGATGACGATGACGACGACGACGACGGCGAAGGCGACGAAGTATTCGCTACTAACCATAAATATTTCGCTGTCGAGTGCTTCGCACAATTTGCAGTTCGTTTTCTATTGTTCGCCTCAAGTTTTTAATGTTTCTTCCAGAAAGGGTATCAGCAGGCGCTTCCGCAATCTAGTCAATTAGAGTCAGTTTTTTATAATTGATATCAATTAGCTTGACATTTTATATAGATCATTTTAGGCATAGCTAGCACATAGTTTATATAGATAAATTCATTTTTTACTGCATTCTTGCATTAGGCTCATTTTTATAAGATCTAACAAAAAATAAAAATTTCTGCGTCTAGTCAAAATTTCATTATTGCTCACGAAATATTCACCTAAACTAAATCTTTTCCTGCACGCAAATATAATATAATAGGATGACAGCAAATTGAACTTAAGGGCACTCAGAATAGAACAGTTTTCCTTTTAGACTCGAAGTGTATAAGGGTTTCGATGCACGAAAAACTGTTTCCATTTTCAAAGCATTTCGCAGCGTTGCCAATTTTTTCGTTGTGTGACAACTTTTTGGCTGTCAGCATACTCAAGTGGGGCAGCTGAAGCACTCGTTAGACAACAAGTAGCTGGTAGATGTTAGCTGGCAGCAGATAGCTCTTGCTACCAGCTCCTTGTCAGCTTTTCTAACTTGAACACTTTTCGGTGCTAACGCTTTGATAATCAAAAAACTTTTCCGCAGTTGACGCACACAAAAGCGAAACTTTACCATTTTCCTCTTTTCTCTTTTAACTTGTGTCGGATGTTTTTTTTTTTGGCCAAGAATTCACACTTTACATTGGTGCGGCACAGAATTCAGCCGGGCATTCATTCACTCAATTTGCCTCCACTTGGCAACTGCAACTTTTGTCTGTCCACGTCTGCGCCGCCGTCCTTGTCATCGTCATCGTGCTCGTCCTCGTCATCGTCATCGTCATCGTCGTGACTTGACTTGGTGCTTATCACACTTGCGTTATTCCTTGTGCCTTCTTCACAGAATGAGCTAAGCACTTATGGCTTCGAAACTCCACGCAAATCGGCGTGCAAACATTTGTGGAGATGCTGCGTGGAGCATCATGCGTTCTTCAGACAGGTGCGCGTTGCACCTCTGCCCAATTCCCAGTCACACGCTGCGGATTTGTTTCAGCTGGGCTCCCGCTTCAGACACAGGTGAGTACTCCTTCCGCCCCCCACCAACCGGCCACAGCTCCATCAGCAGAGCCAAAGGTGCTTTAAGTGCGCAGCCCAATCTGCCGGAAGTATAATTACATACGAGTGGGTGATGGCTGTGTGAGTGTGTGAGTGTGTGTGTTGGTTCGGTATTAAAATAAAGTTATTAAACTCAAGCTGAGGCCATAAGCGAGATGCACAGTTTGTGCGCTTTTGGCCAATTTATTAGCCAGTCGGCCAATTTGCAGCGCTTCAAAAAGTGCAGCCAATTAAAATGTAACCAAGCACTCGAAATCCTGTACCGAATGTGCAGCTCATGTGATTAGATCATTAAAGAGCACCTCAATTCAGTGCTGAGCTACACAAATCGTTCAAATGAGCTAGTTCAATGAACATCCGACGCCCTTCCAACTGCTGACAAGCAAAGCTTGGCCTTCATGTATGTTGTGCATTCGAACCGGATCAGCGGTAGGTGCGGCATCTCTACTAGATGCAACCACATGGTTGCACACAGACATAGATCAAGTTTACACCAACTCGAATGCCCAGCTAATTGGAAGTCCAATAAAAATGTCGGATCTGCAGGCAGTCCGACAAACTCAAGTCGAGCGCAAAGCCCACTAATGACTTTCTGTGAAATGCCTCCAAGCTGTAGCCGGAGCTGCAGTCAGAGTCGGAGTCGGAGTTGGAGTTAGATCTAGTGCCAATGCTTGAGCCTAAGCCGCCAACAAATGCAAGGCAATTGTGCATGACGAATGTGGCAGGGACCCAGGTCTGGCCCCCGTTTGCACCATGTCCAGGTTCATGTTTATGACAGCCATTTGCGGTGACTGCGGCTGGCCATTTGCTGGGCGAAACTTTCTTGCACTTCGCCAGCCGCAAACTTGGTCTAATTCGAGTTCACGTGGCTAAGCGTTACACTGGGAAACTATTAGCCTGGCAGGGTGGTTGGCCAAAAGTTTTAGGACGCCACCAAACATTTTACGAGCGCTCGACAGGCTCGACCAGCTCGACTGGCTCGACCGGCGTTTTTAATTTGTGAAACAAATGAAAGTTTTTTACAACCTTTTTATGGTTCACTGTTCATTATTACGAACCATCAGCATCTTGTACTATTATTGTTTTTATTTTTCCGTTGCTTATTTCTGTTAATATTTTTGGACGCCTTCATGCCTACTTTTATGTTGCCCAACAATCGCATGTCTGACCCAACCCAACCAACCCACAACCAAAGTCGCTCGGACAAGCAAATGGAGAAGGATGCACTTGCTGCCGGACGTGCGCCGCCCGCCTTTACGCGCGTACCCTCCAAGCGCCAGCCTCGGCGCGTGATTGATGACTTTTTCAACAGTAACGGCGGAGGTGGAGTCGGTGGTGGCGGCATCGTCCACATTGGCAACCGCCCCCTGCCATCGCAGCCGCTGCCGCTTCAGAGCTTGGCCAACACCAGTGGCAATGCCAACGCCAAGTGAGTACTCCAAATATCCATCATTTGTTTTCATTTCATGCACAAAAGTTTTGATTTACCCAGCATCAGTTCTCTATGTGTCTACATGTGTACGCACACATATGCATATACTCCTTTTATACACTTCCTTTGGCGCAGTTGTCCTTTTTTATTTATTTTTTTTTTTTTTGGGCCAATTCTTTTTTCGGTCATAATTTTGTAGAGCCGCGCCGGCCGGAAGTGCTCTCGTGCTGCTCATTGCAGCATCTTCCTTTGATCTGTTTTTAATTTTGAACATGCGAGTTTTTTTGAGGCTGTCTGCAGCAGCCGCCCCAAAATACGGCATCTGCTCCCCAAGGGGGAAAATTTATATGCAGTTTCCCAGTTTTGGCATAGTGAAACTGTCGCCCTCTCTCTCCCTCGCTCTCTGTTTATTTCTTTCCTTCTATTGTATCACTTGAATTTACAAAAAAGAGAAAGCGAAAAAACAATGCACAAAACACTTCATCATGCCCCATGTGTGCATGTGTGTGGGTGTGTGGGTGTGTGTGTGTGCGTGCGAGTTGTGTTTGACAGGCCGCCGCCTTCACATTGTTTTAGTGAATGTTATTGTTATTGTTGTTGTTGCGATGTCCTTATCCGAGTGCTCCTGTGGCATGTGTTCTTGTGCTGCCCTTTTTTCGATTTCGTGCTCAAAATCCATTTAGTTGCCATTTGAAGGCAGTTACATTGTCTAGACGCAACATTTATTAAATGTTTTATGGTTCTGAACATCAAATTATATATGGACAAATAAAAATCGGCCATTAGAAAAGCGTTGGCGTTAGCGTGACGTTAGCGGAAATGTTGCCAAGATGTTATGCCAAGGAGAGCGAGATTTTAATGGAAATTGAGTCATACGTCGACAAATCGAAGATTTATCTGTATAGGGCGGGGCAAACAGAATGCGATAGTTGTTAAGGAAACTTCTTAAACATAAGGTAGAAAATGCTATGAGAGCGAATGAACTCTGCAAAAAGTCAGATTAGTTAGATTAATAATAATTTGTCAATCTTGAATCAGTAATTCAGGGAAACAATAATTCATAGATCAAGCATAGTCAAGCATAGTTCTAGTGGGTAAGGATCAGTGGAGTTACAAGCTCATTATTTACTCGAGCAGTGGCAAAGCCCATCATTGACCCCATCAATGTCGCTGGCGCAGAAGCCACCAGCTATGCATAAATTATCCATGATGGTAATAGAGTCTACGAGCTGTGGCAGCATACAGAAATGTAATCGCTGCCGCAACATTTCCTAGGAACACAAGAAAGTACAGATCAGCACAGAGCTGAGTGAGTCGAACCGAATAGAACTAAGCTAGACGCTCACGTCGTTTATCATTTGCAAACAAAGAAGCCAAACGTCAGGCAGCGGGCGCAGTGGCAGCCAGGACAGGCCAATCAAGTTGCCCACACCATTGGCAAGCGGGACATAAATCACAAGGCGCGACCGGAGCAATGGCACGTCCGGGGAGTCCACATCCAAGTGCATGCCCATGTCCATGTCCATGTCTGTTGCGATGGGGAGCTCGAAATGATTGCCCGCTGATTGCCAGTGCGGCAATTACTCAATTTTACACACGCGCATTATTTGTCTGTGTCGATCTGACTGGCAGGCTGGCTGAGGACGATCCTCCCGGCCAGCCCCGATCCTCAGACAGAGGCCATTCAAGCGACAGCCTAAATGCTGCGATGCTGCAGACTTTAATCAACGTTTATGTTAAACAATTTAAATTTATGGCAAAATAATGCGAGACAGCGTTGCAATTGCTGACTGATACCATCCACCTTCCTCTCTCCATACCCTGTCTACGTTTTATGGCTTTGCAGCAACTACGACAGTCCCTACCGCTCCACGTATAGCATACCCACCAGCTTGGGTGTGCGTCCCAGCCATCAGCAGTCCTCGCAGCAGAACAACAACTCCAGCAGCTACAACAACAACGGCAGCAATTTGCAGACACCTGACTCGCCGCGCAGCACGCGCAGCGCACCCTGGCCGAGATCCCAGCAGCGCTCGCTCTTCGGCCACAATCCGTCAAGTCCGCGCTCGGTGCGTTCGGTGAGCACCACGGGCGGCGGGTTGCATCATCACCACAGTCATAGCCATGGCCATGGTACGAGTCATCATCATCATCATCAGCATCAGCAATCTTCGTCGTCGTCGCATCATCAGCAGCGGCAGCAGCGTGCCAGCTCATCATCCGCCTCGCATCAGCAGCAGCGCTATCGCTCCAGCTCCGTGGAGAGTCATTCATCAAACGATTCACGCTCTACACGCCGGTAAGTCCAGATGGTTTCACCTTCGCACACTGGGAGACTCACTTGCTCCACACTCCTAGACACAAGCATCGGCATCGCCGCACCTCCGACAATGAGAGCGAGTTGTCACGTGGTTCGGGTCGCTCGGGACGTTCGCATCATCGCAAGCATCGACGCTCGCATCGACATCGACGCGACTCAGCTGGCGGCTCGGATCATGACAGCACCAGGGGACGAAGTTACTCAGGTCATCGCAGCTCCTCCATGCGCAGCGGTAGCGCCGAGTTGATTGATTCAACCACGCAGTGGCGCGAGGTGCAACGGCGACAGGCGGAAGCGAGTCTGGGCCAGAGCTCCGTGCAGCAGGCGTCCGTGTCCAAGAGCAGCATGGTGGCTCGCAGTCTGCACAGCAACGACAGCCACTCGGACACACATTCGCACCACAAGTCACGACGACATCGCAAGAACAAGTAAGTCAATTGTGTGGGCATGTTCGCTTCTGAGTCTAAATTGTTCACCAAATAGATCTCCGTCGGAGTCGCGCAGTCGCATGTGGAACAGCGAGCTGGCCAAGCACTTGCAGTTCGATCTGGTGGATACCGCCGGCATGTCGGAGCAGCAGTTGCGCGAGATACCCTACACCGTGGTGGAGACGACTTCAAAGCGCTCCAACTCCAATCTTAAGATCCACAAGAGCAACAGCAAGAGCAGCGTGGGCGCTAAGAGCACCGGATCGGGCAACACAATCACGAACGGCAACGGTTCGACTGGCGCTGGGCAGGCGAAGAATCGAGTGGATCGCATTAGAGGGTAAGTTGAGCCACAGAATTCTAGGACTGCTTCAGGCAGTTTCTCATGTTGCCGATTTGTAGACTCTATTACCAAAGCTCTCATCCGCATGATAGCAATGTCGGCGGCGTGGGCGGCAGCGGCGGCGCTCCCAAAAACGGTTCAATACGCTCGGCGAGCACAATCTCCTCACGCGAATGCGAGCGCAACAACGGACATGGCCTAGTGCGGTAAGTTGCAAGAGCGTTGCAACTGAGAGTCATCATCTTTAATATTTGGCCACATCTCGTCTGTTGCACCTTTCACAGCATGATGTCTAGCATGAGCATGGGTGACTTTATCTCGCCCACGGGCTCCAATCTGAGCCCCTTGGAGAACTCAGCGCTACGCGTTTCTCATGAGCACACGGACTCGGGACTAGGTGCTGATCAGGACTATGCCTACTCCTCAGAAAGGTAACTGACCCACGATGAATGAGCCTTGTAACTTTAATCAGTTGAAATCTTTCCTCAACATTGTTTCAACGTCTATTGTTTTGAAATCTTCGGCAGGTCCAGCGACAGCACACGCTATGGCACCAACAAATCCTCTGGCGCCTCAAGTGGCAGTCACCGCAAGTCGATTGGCAGCGCCGGTGGTGGTGGTGGCAACAACGGTGGCTACAACAGCCTCATGCAACAGACTGTGAGTAATCAACAGCAACAGCAGCGCTCACTTTTCGCACAGCAGCAACGCCAACAGAAGCCCAATTACAAATACGCTTCCTCCTCGTCTACTAACCCGAATCACAATCCAAACCCAAGCCTGGCACCGGTGCATAACGCATCTGCCTCAGCTACTAACTCAACGCCGCCGCCGCTGCAGCCAAGCTCTTCGGGCGGCAACAGCAGCAGCGCCGGCGCCGGCAATCGTCTGCTAAGTTACACGACCTTTGAGAATAATCAGTACAAGTTCAGTTTGAACAATGCGCTGGGCAAGGGATCGGGCGGCGGTGGTGCCGGCGGCTGCGGCGGCGGCGTTGCCAGCTGCAGCAGCAGCAATCTCACGGGTAACATGGTGTCAGCTAGTGGTGGTGGTGGTGGTGCTTTCAGCAGGCAACGCAGTTTTGTCGAGTGGCCAAACAATCCGGCTGCGCCATACTATTATCAAGGTCCATCATCCAGTGCGGCGCAGGTCAAGCGGCGCGATGCCAAATCGGATATTGGCGTGCCCACGCGTCGTTTATCCGGTCAAAGTCTGACAAAGACGCAGCTGCTCACTGGTGGTGCAGTGGGCGGCAGCTCTCAGCTGGCCAATGCCAGCTGCTATCCCATGCACTATGCCAGCAGTAGCGTCTCCAACGCTGGCTACAATCGGGCCCTGGGCCAACGTGGAGCGGCCGGAGCCTCACACATCGGTGGCTATGGCCTGCAGCCGGCCAAATCTGATCTTTTCTTGTCCTACATACATGGCGGCGAGTACGAGCGCCCCTACATCTACAACTACAAGATGCCGCAGATGCCGCCGGGCATTGCAAGCAACAGCTCTAGCTCTGGCGCTGGCTCTGGCATCGGTTCGGGCACCGGCTCTGGCTCCGGCACTGGCTCGCCCAAGCAGCTGGCCAGCGCGTATCACATTTCGGGCGCCCAGACAGCGGATCCGCCGCCACCGCCGCCGCCTTTGTACGGTGGCTCGGCGCCCGCCAACGACGTCATGTACTATCAGTTTGACAAAGGCGCCGCCGTCAAGCCCGCACAGCAGCCGCCCATAGTGCAGCAGCCGAAAGCGTCAGCGGCTGCCGCAGGTACTGGGGGCAGCAGTGGGCCATTAGTGTATCTGCAACATGGACAGAATATCGCGCCATCGAATGTCACCTCGACGCAGCAAACTGTGAGTAAGCCCTAGGCTCAGTCCCGCATCTCTTACGCATGTTGCGTCAACCTGTAGCATGTTTCGTTGTTGTTCGTCTCCTTATTGTTGTTGTTGTTGTTTAACCGTCCTCTGTCTTGCCGCATCCTTGTTTGTGTTGCATGTTCCCCCACTCTCTGTGTCTCTCTCTCTCCCTCTGTGTGTACTTAGCTGCTTAAGTTCAAGTTTTGTTGTGTTTTATTTTCATTTTATATTTGCCGCCTTTTAATTGAATTCGTATTTTATTTGTACTATCTTAAGCACCTCGTTTTTTATGTACTTAGCTGCAACTGCAACTGCAACAGCAGTGGCGACTGCAACGAGCAGTGGCAAGGCAATGCCATGCACTCATAACGTATACTTAATTTCTAAACTTCAGCTTATATCTATATATGACTATATATATACATTTATATATATATATTTTTTACGTATTCTCTTATATTTTCGTCTAATAAGTAACTTAAGCTTTTATGTTGATTATTCTGTAAGACTCATTGTAAACATTGGGCGGTGCTTTGGCCAAAAGGACTTCTGTTCCGGCTTTAGTAACATGCACACTTATCTTTGTATGCACACACTTATCCTTGCATGTGTGTGAGCTTACTCCTGTGTCTGTGTGTTTGTGTGGGTTATCAAAAACGACGCGCTGTCTGCAAATAAACTTGCTGCTATCTGCGCTTGGTGTCTGGCGCATAGACTGGAATTTAATTAACTTAAATAGACTGCGCGAAAGTAGGCGTGGGGCGAAACCATACACACACACACACACACACACCATACACATTCCAGCCACGTATCTTTAAGATACAGATAATTGCAGTAATGTGTTTTGAAGTAAATTTATATAAGATTTCATACATCACCAGGGACACAGCAAAGCTCTTTATGATTTATACATTTTGCTGTGAGAATTAAAAGAAACTCCAAAGAGTTACTTCTGTCAGGCTGAAAACCTTGCTCAGCTTGCTAAGTTCTATTAATCAATTTTTACAAAGGATTTTCTATGCCCCAGCGATTCTTTAGTCTTAAAGCTCTGCTCCAAAAGTTCTAACCAATAAACTTGAGCTCAATTTCACGCACCACTAATTAACAACAGAAATATGCCAACTAATTTTTGTCTAGCAAACAAACAAATTGCTCGAAAAGCAAAAGATATTTTAGGCCAAGAGCAGACACGGGCCATGGCAGTGCAGGCTGAGGCTGGCTAGAGGGCAATAAAGCAGCATAAATAATAAGCAACTATTTGCGCTACATTATCCAAGTTTATGTAACAGCAAGGCGGAGCTTGGTGCGGAGCCAAGCTCACAGTGGGTCCAGTGGGTTGCCAAAGCAAATAATTTCAAGTCAAGTTGATGGCACAAATTTCGCAGCTACCACAGCAAAAATACTTACAATTCTTAAATAAATTTTGTGAGAGCGTAGCTCGACCCGCTTACACACACATGCCACATGTGTGTGTGCGTGTGTATTTATGTGTGTCACAAATGGCCTTCATAGCAAGAACAGCCACTACATAGAAACATTCTCGAAATGTTTGGCATAATTTTGCTATAAAATAAATTTTGCAAAATTGTTTTTCCCTAAGCTGGAGGCAGCTTAGCAAAGCGAAGACAGCGCCTGGCAGCGGCAGCAGCAGCAGCAGCAGCGGCAACAACAGCAATAGCAACAGCCAAAGGACATCAAATAAAACAAGCAAATCAAAAATTATGACAGCACAGCAAGGAGCAAGTCAGGAACTCAAACAGCCACTGGCAGAGCAAAAGAGATAGCAATAAAGCCAAACCAACACGCTGCAAAAAAAGATACTGAGAACTCTCTGCTGAGCCCAAAGGGCAAACGTAAGGCATGGGCATGGGCATGGACAGGGGCGGGGACATGGTAGTGGGCGTGGCTGGCATGTGGCATGTCCTTGCCAAAGCAGTTAAGTCAATAAATTTACTGATTTAATGTGCCAAAAGTTTCGATTGTTGTTGTTGCCGTCTTCTGGCCAATACGCACTTCACGCTGCCCCCTGAAGAGTTGAGCAAGCGCCTGCAGTTGTTATTGCTATTGTTAATATTGTTTGCTATTGTTGTTGCTCTACGTCGCCCTCGAGCGACGTACACTAACAAATGCTAGATTAACACAATTGGTAAACAATAAAAGCGACAACTTATGGCCAAGCTTATTTAGCTTAAAGCCATTTTACTTAAACGACCATAGCCAGAAAGCAGCATGAAGCCCAAAGTGTAACTAAATGCAATTTGAAAATAAATACGATAATTGAATATAAATAAGAGTACTCCGCCGGGGTCTCTGTCAAGAGTGGCATATATTCGACTTTAATTATTTTAAGTGTTTAAACACAATTCACAAATTAAAGTAAATGCCATAATTCAACAACAAAGCAAAAGTTTCTATCACAAGCTCAAAATTGTATATATTTTTGCAATATCAATTAAAATCACTTTCCAATTAAGTAAACATGCATTATTGCAATCTAAAATTTCAAACAATTTTGATGAAGCCAGCGTCCGCAAAAGTCCTAAAAAATATATATTTAAAATTAAGCGCATGCCATGTCTGGTTAGTGTTTCCATATATTATTACATTCAGTTCCCAGTTGGGAAACTTTTAATAAAACAAAAAGCAGACAGCTCTGCAAATTTTATTCATATTTCTGCCCGGTGCTGACTAACTTTGTACCGGAGCCCTCAACGAATGGAAAAGCATTAGAACTTCATCAATATAAGCCACACGGGGGGTTTTCATTGCAAAATGTTTTCTATATAAAAAACTTTAAGCAAAACAAAGAGAAAATATGTGAAAAAATAGAACAAAAAGCAAATATTTTTGCATTGGCGATTGATTTATGAGCAGAAAACAATTTACGACTCAAATAGTGCGGAAAATGCTGCAAAAAAGTTTATTTTACAATTGAATTTATTATTTATGCCACACACCGAGTGATTTAATTATGCATCATTCAGACAATAGACGTCGGCTAAATATTTTTTTTATTTTCTGTTTTCATTTTGTTAATTTTTTATGTATGTAGCTCTAAGCTGGTCTTTTGTCTTTCAGCTGTGGACATCTGTCGCTTTTAATATTTATGTGAACTTTTATTTGCAACAAAAACATTTTCAATATTTTTTTTGGTTTCATGGCATTGCATGAAAAAATGCAGACAAAATACTCTGCTGAGTAAATAGTGAAAAAATGAGAGCTCGGGGAGCGTAGGTAATAATTATCTAGACGAGTGTGTTGACACGCCTGCTGGCAGTTGGCCCTGACAGTTGCCAGACATTGAAAGAGTCCTTTTTAGCGGGTTCTGCTAATTGCGGGGGGCGTTTCATGGCCGCCAACGTTTTTGTCAGGCAATTTGATGCATTTGCGTTTGGGCCAAAGAGCCAAGGGGCGTATGTGAGCTTTTAGACTATGCCTAATTAACACACACACACATACATACACACACTTATAGACAGAGGCACACCCATGAAAGTGGAGGAAAATTAATTAAATTTCTACATTCAGCCAGAAGCCAGAAATTCCTGCTACACCCGCTCTTCTGCCTCTATTCATGCTGATTTAAGCAATCCCGTACGTGTTTCCATTAGGCTACAATTCAAGCTTTGATTATTGATGGAATGGTTGGAGGTTGGAGTGCTCTCATCGGATAAGCTCCCTCTTAAGGCAACAAATACAATTTTCAAGTTGAATGCAATTTTAATTAATGGCAAATCAAACAAACTTCAAGAAAATTCACAAAACAAACTTAGCCAGACATAAGTAAAGTTTTAGCTGGCTGCCAAAAGCATAAGCTGCCAACACACGCACACACACATACCAGTTTCTCAAGTGCTTGTATCCACAAGATACAGATACACAGATAGCCATTTGCCATATGCTAACTAAAGATCCCTTTGCGCATGCACCTTTATGTTTTTATTTACAAATGAATATGTCTGTCTACATCTATTCTCCCAGCTAGAGTTGAGTCGGAGTAAAGAAACATTATGTTTACCTTCTGCCACATGTGCCCACAACTAAGAGTGTGTGTGTGTGGGGGTGTGTGTGTATGAATTCAATCATAATAACAGCAAAGCTGCTACAGCAAACATGTCTTTGGCCAAATTGAATGAGCTTTTGAGTGTATTGAGATTGACTCGCAGACAAAAAGAGAGAACAGGGCAAAGCTGTAGCTAAAGATATTGCAATTACGAAATTAATTCAATTGAAATATATTTATATTAATTCAATGAGGCATTTTTAGATTCATTAAATAGAGATCAAATGTGTTCATATAAATGTATTATCATATTTGAAACTTGAACGTGTTTTGGTCAGCTTAAGAGTTTTTTCGGGTTTCCTTTTCGGACTTTGTGTTTTGTCAGCTTCAATTTCTATGGCAGCAGCAACAACAACAGCCTGAGAATGCAATCAATCGTAAACCACAGAGTGCATGTCCTGTGGCACGAGCACCCAACTCGCCCCGCCTCCGACTGTCTCGCCCACCCGGTTTCGGTCAGGTGTTTAGCCGGCGGTCACTTTATGAACGCAATCAGGCGAGCTTTTGTTAAACTCCATCCACTGGCATTTGGCATGTGCCATTCTGTTGTTCACATTGTTGTGGCTGTGAATTGTCGTTGTTGTCGTTGTTATTGTTGTTGTTGTTGAGTATTTTACGCAGAATTTGAATGTATGTAATTAAAATTTGTTCGCCTGCGGATCTAATAATAAATTTATGTGCATACATCGCCAGCTCTTGCAGCTGATTTTTAAATTGAATTTCAATTACACTAAAGTACACAGTCAGCGAACTTTTTTGATTTGTTTTGCTACATGTCGCTATATTATTATTTAGTATTTATGACCTTAAATATTGCATATTTAGTAATAAGTCAAGCATGGCGCATGTTTGCCCGCATATATCATAATAATTATTTATTGTTTGTTTAGTCTATTGCTAATGTTGATGTTGAATTACCAGCAATAATATTTGATTAAGTCTGTGGCTAAGCTCGTTTCATATTGTAAGTGCATGATGAATTGTGCTAAAATTGTGATATATATTGAAACATATATATATATATATATATCTGTGTATATAGTGCCTGTTCATAATTGTACGTAGACCCAAAATCCCTGCAAGAGAGCTAAACCTTGTTTGTGTTTTCAATACCCCCAACTCCACAAAAACTCAAATCAAAACCCGCAAAAACCCATCGCAATGCACAGGCAATACACTCGTCGCACTCCTGCAGCGAGGAGGACGAGGTGATGGCCGTTTTGGAGGCCCTTCAACCGGATGCGACCACAACTAATGATGAAACCGAAGACACCGATGATATATATGACGATGAGGCCGCTGAGGCAGAGGATATGTTTGACGCTGACGTTCCTTTGATGTCGCCCACGGGCAGCCACAATAGTGCCAGCAACAGTCACTGCAATAACAACAACAACAACAACATTAGCAGCAACAACAGCAGCAGCAACAGCAATGGCAATCGTAATGCAATTGCAGCAACAACAACAGTTGCATCCATTTCCGCTTTGGCCAATATTAATCTAGATAATTGCAATGCGAATGTCTACAGTGGTCAGCAGTGTGCCAACGACACCAATGCACAACAGCAACAGCAGCAGCAGCAGCAGCAGCAGCAGCAAGCATTGCCAATTACCAAAGCCAACCAAACGTTAAATTGTCCCACATTGAATGCAAATAGCAATAGCAATAGCCATAGTAGCCAAACCAACTCCAATACGAATGCCAACCCGAATTTGAATGCGCCACCCAGTGACCACCCAACATCCCCCACCAGCCAACAGCAACACCAATCCACAGCAACAGCAGCAGCTGCAACAGTTGCTGCCGCAACGAACTCACTACGAACCAATTCCAATACGCACTCGAATTTACAACAAAATCAAAACATTTCCTCCAGCTTAGAGATAATCCTATCGCCAATTATACAAAGTAGTCGCCGGTAAGTTTATTTCTTAGTTTTTCCTTTACTTATTTTCCTTATTCGTATTTCCGTTGAATTCTGCTGTAAACTTGGTTTAGCCAGTTTTGGCCCTTTAAATAGTATTTCCCTTTTCATTTCTTTTAGTTCTATACCAATTGTGTGTAGCTAACAAGCAGATACTTTCATACAAGTATTGTTCAAGTCTAGTCTTAAGTAGGTGCGCCCTTTGACCCACCCGCATGCAAACAAAGCAACCACAGCGCTAAAAGTGAAACGTAGTCTGCAGTGCCCCGTTGCAGTTGATCCCAGAGATTGTGTATTGAAACCGCAATAGCCTTTGTGTTTGAGTTGTTATGCTTACAATCAATAAGCCAATTTCTGTTGAATGTTTCATCTTAAGCAATTGTAAGTTCATATCGATTTTCGTATATTGTTATCCAGCAGATTAAAGCATAAATTGTGAACAATTCGAGTTAATTTAAAGCAAACGATCTCGACTCCACGACTTGAATATCTTATGTTTATGTTAACAATATTATCTAAGATGGTGCTCAAGTTATTCTCTCAGCTGCTTCAATGGAAAATCACTTATACTCATCCGCAGCTCGAAATTTCTTAATCAAATTGCTCTACAAGCCACACGCACATAACGATATGCCGCCTTAAAGAGGGCCTAAACCCCAACCAAATAAAACTGAATAAAAACATTATAAATTATGTATTAATGTGCCTGTTAGGCCTATGCGTGGCTCAACGCACCGTGGGTGTGGCAGGAGTTCCCCTGGCGGCTGCTTTCGTTTTTGGCCTTTAGCTTCTCAGTGGGGCTCCTGAGGCGCTGCCAAAGCCAAAGCACTTTGCCAGCTGCCAATTTTCAATTGCCTGCAAGAAAGCTGGAAACAACGGAAAGCGACAATAACAACAACGACGACGACAATGATGGGGAAATGAAGGAAAATGGAAAAGACTTTTCCGCGTTACATTCGTTTTCATTTCAATTTCACTTGGTGCGTTTGCTTTCATTTTGGATTTACATTTGATTTGACTGCCTCTCGCCATTTGTTTCTACTTCTGCTTCTGCGTCTGCTCCTTGTCGTGCTGCTGTCTTTGTTTGTTTATTTTTGCTCCAACTACGTTTTTACGCTCGGCAAGGCAAAAGGCGCACAAATATTTATGTGACGCGAAGACAATGCGAATGCCACAACGAAATTCGACAGCCCATTTACAAATGAATAGGTTAATGTCAGCGGGCAGGGAATGCCAATGGGGGCTCGCTGGATTGTGGGCGTGGCAGTCGTCTTGTTTATGAGCCAAAGTTCAGGCGGCGCACAAATTGACTTTAAACATGTCAATTTAAATTTGCCTATGCCCTGAGCACGGTACGGGGCTTACAGTCACGAGTATAGCCAAAAATATGCCCGGGTCCTGCCCTGGCTGGCACACTCAATTGTCTGCCTGGCTCTGTTTGCGCCTCATTAGAGCATCCGAAAGGTCTTCGCCATACATTTGCCCAACCATTTACATTTGTTTTGAGTTCCGTCACAAATATTACTCATACGCCGCATTGCACGCAGCCATTGAAGCAACAAAATGACAATTTCACAACAAATTAACTGCGCAGCCAGGCAAGCCAACATTTATTTCAGACATATACTCTATGAAGATATGATATCACACTCAAGGGCACACACCAACACACACACACACCCATCAGTTGGGGAAAAGTGACAACAAAAATTGCAATGAAAGCTAAGCAAATGACCTTCAAACTCGATAAGCGAAAACAAAACAAGCGAAAGTGCTAAAAATATACATAATTTTCACCAAACATATACACACACAGAGACATACACACACATCGGCCAAGCACACAAATAAAAAGAGCCCACACACGCATAGCTGAAAATATGATAGCCCTGGCAAAAGCAGAAAAGCAAAAACATTAAAATTTACGAGGGTAGGCAAACGCCGGGCAAATGATGTTTCCCGGTCTATGCGCTCGTCCATGTGCCCAGCAGAGCCCAGCCGAACATAAATACAAATTTCAACACAGCAAAAAAGAAAAAACAAACAAAAGGCGACGAAAGACAAAAAGGCTCCGCGCACTAGAACAATTTCATATCGCACAAATACTTTGCCCGGACAAATAGACAAAAGACAGTGGAAAAAACTGAAACAAAAAGTATCAAACGAGCCTATGCACATAAGGAATTTTAAATGCCCTATGATGTAAATGTTCTGGCTGATACCAAACGCACTTGTGCTGTAATTAATACAAGTTATATATATAAAAATGATATATAAAAAATACAATGTTTATGTGCTTACGTAAAAAATGAGAATTTCCCATTTGTAAATTTGATAGTTTTTATTATTTTTAAACTTAAATATATATTTTCTGAATGGAAAATTTGATTCAACTACGAGTGAGCTAACTGATTCAATAAGTCGCATCAACTGCCCGCTTTTAAGCATGTTCAATTTTCATCAAGTACTTAGAGGCCTCAAGTACTTTGCCCTGGTACAGTTCCGTGGCTGTTCCCGTTGATCAACTGCTTTGCTTTGGAGATCGTTGCATAGTAAGAATTAAAATGCTTTAATCCACTTTTTAGAGAAAAAACAAAGGAAATCAAGTTTTAGGCTGTCTGTTTCTTAACACGATAGGTTGTGCGTGTGTATAGTGTATAAACCAAGTGCTGGCCTTTGTCGAGAGGAAGTTTTGGTGTTGTTTAGTTTCGTTTCGTTTCGTTTGCTTTGCACATCGATTCGCGACATTCGGTGCCACACGCAGAAGGGGCAAGTGAAAGTACCGCGGAGGCAGCCCTGCAAAAGTTTACGCAGTTTTTGGCCAACGACAAGGGATGGGCACAAAAAAGTGCTGAAAATGTTGAAAGTGCCGCAGCGGCATTCGTAAATTTGAGGCACGCACTTTGCTGGCAGGCGGAGAGATAAGCTTATAAATGTCTATATAAAAAGTCGACAACGCCGGCTACGGAATTATGTGCTGGCCATATTTTTTGTTTGCTACTTTTGGTTTCTTTCCCTTTTCGCTCGGTTATTGTTATTGTGTTTCGTTATGATTGAATGAAGTAATTATTTGAGTTGTTGCGGCGCCCGAAAAGCCACAACTATATAATAAAAGAACAAGTATATAGCAACTACAGCAAATATATTATATGAATTTTCCTTTTTTCAAGTGCTTAAATAATTTAATGGCTGTCCAGCCATAAATTTGTAATATTTTAAGAGCTTTTATGTTCGCTTTGTGTATTTAAACGCATAACGCATACGCACAGTAGTTTAGAAAATAATAAAAATAAACAAAACTAACAAGCCACAACTACCACAATCACATACCACTGCACACACGCACTTTACAACTAGGATTAGCCACATATAATTGCTTAAAGCGAAGCGAAGTCACGAACTTTAACTTATTTCTAATATACAAATGTTTGCATCTTTATATTTCATGCCGCATCTACTGCAACTGCAACAACAACTCCAACTGCTACAACAACAACACGATTCAACAACAATGCAGAGCGCAATTGTAAGCGAAATGAGCACAGAATTGTGAGAATTAGCTAAATTTAATTTGCAATAGCCAACGCCCGCCCACAACGACCCAGGCCCGAGCCTGCAGCAGCAGCAACACCAGCACGTTGCAGTAGCAGCTGCCACAGTTTGTGCTTCGGCGCCCCCGCCAACTGCTTTTTGCAAACTTTGGCTGCAACAGCAACAGCAGCAACAGCAACAGCAGCAGCAACAACAACAGCAGCAGCAGCAACAACTGTTCGAGCAGCAACAAGCATGGCTATAAGCAACTGCAAGAACAACAATGGCCACATCACGTGTAAGTGCAAAGTTAAATGGAAACTAGATGCGGGCGCTCGCACAAAAGTATGCTAAGTTGCAACTGCAACCAGCAACCAACATCAACAACACTGAACAACATTTAAAAGCCGTTGGGCCAAAAGTTGTGCAGAACTTTCGTATCGACAACAACGTTGCGGGCTTTGTCGTTGCAAATTAAATGTACATTTTGCCAACATGTAAATAGATAATGTCTGTAACGAATCTTTAGTGTGTATGAGTTTAGTATGACTGTGTCTGTGTGTCTGTGTACAAAGCGAAAGATCATATGTATGCTTAAAACTAATTAACTAAGCAAAACACTTTAAAATATGCATGGAAAAAATAAAACAAACGAAACGAAACGAAAATACGAAGAATTTTGAAATAGCTTACGATGCGCAGCAAATAATCAAAAAGCCAAAAAAGCAAATGTAACTCACAGATAAGAGAGGGCACACAAATAACGCAACCAACAACAACAATAAGACTACCAACAACATAAAAGCAAAAATAAATTGTGCGTTAATGATAAGCGGCGCGCATTTCAGCGGCATAAAATTTATTAAAATATGCGTGCCGCACAGACAGCAAAAGGAAGACGCCCAAAAGCAGGCAGCAAGAAAAATATATTTGTGCTTACGAGTATATATGTACATGTGTATGTGTATGTATGTTGAGGCTTAGCCACACACTCACACACACACACGCACAACAACAAAGACACTTGCGCTTCCTGGCCAAGGAAATCGTTAGCGATAAATATAAAATTTTATTGTTATGCGTGCGTTGCTTTCGAATGTGTGTGTGTGTGTGTGTGTGTGCGTGTGTGGGTGGCCTGCAAGTAAATTAAATATGCTTTTTTATTAACTACTAAGAACCAATTTGATACGCATACAAATAATGCCGCACAAGTAGCATGAAAATTATGTAAAATTTAATTTTACTTCAATGGAGAAATTTAAGAAGCAGCGGAAGCAAAAAAGCAAAGCCAAATAAATTTATTAAGTAGCTCATAAATGTAATTTTAATAAAATTCTATACATATATCTGTCAGTGTGCATACATGTATGTATGTATGTCGTACATTATAAAACTAGCTATAATAAAAATAAACAACTTACTTACTTATGCCAACAACGTCCAGCAATTTCAATAATATTTATGTAAGCGCAACCCACAAAGAACAAACACACGAGCACGCAAATAAACACACGCACAGACATACGCACACATACACACACACACACACACAACACACTAAGTTCGAGCATATTTTAAGCCCAATTTAGTTTAATCATTTGCAACTAATTTAAGCGCAAATATCTGTTTATCTATGGTTTGTGTGTGCATGAATGTGTGTGTGTATGTGGGTCTGTATGTGTGTGTGTGCTATGTAAATATGAGTTTGTTTTAGCCGTTTCCCATCTGCTATTCAGTTAAAATAACAACTAATTTCAAAACACTGCCACTATAAAAATAATTTTAATTCTAATAAAATGAAATAAAAACTTTTTGTGGTCTAATTAGAAATACTTATTAAAGAAATACGTATATGAAATAAATACCATAAATCTAATAACGAATATAATACCCTTTGTAAGTTGATCGATTTTTTAGCACTTAAATGAAACTAAATGGAAAATATTTCAAAATCAACAACAAATAAAAAAACGAATACTTAAAATTAAATATTATCTATATGTATCTGTGTCTAACAAGATTTTACAATGAGTGTGTCACTTTTATATATCTCATATAAATATATATATATAAATATATAAATATATATATATATATATATATATATATATATATATATATATATATATATATATATAAATATATATATATATATATATATATATATATATATATATATATATATATATATACAAAATAACTGCAAATAAAAGCATTTTATACAACATCCACTATCTACCCTCGTTATTATTGACCCAGGGGTGGAAGAAGGACATCAAAAAATTCTGCACCTCGCCCGATAAGCCAGAGGACAATAGAAAAAGTTTCAAGTCGAACGTGGACAAGGACGTGCAATGCTCAGGATTCCAAATTAGCAAACTTACAGCTAACAAAAAGAATTCATTCTCTGAGTTATAACTGAGTGCGCATAATAGTCGTAAGCAAGACTAAGTGTCATGCTTAAAGCTGGCAAGATAAGCGCAACAAAAGCAGCTCTGACAGAGATAAGAATGCTCAAGTGGGAAGTGCCTGACTAGGGAATATCCTGTATCCGTGTCAGGCGTGTACTTTGAGTCGAGGGAGCTAGGCTAACAGCTTCACTGCAGGCTCTTAACTATAGAACGGTAGACTAATAGTTAGCCAGTATCCAGTGAATCAGGTGTATGTGAATATGTGTATATATATTATATATTTTATATATTTATATAATATATTTTATCGTATGTTTGACACAAACTTGAACCGTGCGCACTACCATCTTCATTTTCAATCTCTACTTTAGACATTCCAAGACGATTCCAACGTATTAAATCGACTCGAGCATCGTTGCTTAAGGCTGGTGTCTGATTAAAAATATATTATAAGATGTGTCAACCTGTTACATACGTAGTAATAAAACCATGACCCAAAGCTATTGCCATTAAAGCCGCAGCACATTTCAGGCGAATGCTATAATGAGTCGAATAATATTTATTTAAGCTTCGATGTTAACATGGATCAGATATGTTAAAATTTAAATTTGAAACAATTATGTTGATAAGGTCATAAATAAAGATATGTTAAAATTTAAATTTGAAACAATTATGTTGATAAGGTCATAAATAAAAATAATAATAACTTGAAACTTAAGTTCTACTTGTATTACAACAGCGTTATATCAGTCCTCGGTGCTGCGGATCCTATTGGCCAAATGAGTGCCCATTAGGGAAATCACGAGCTGTAAGAATAACAAATTAGGCTGGTTCGCAATTAATAAGTGATTGAACTCAGTACCAGTAATCCAGAAAGTATAAGGGCGCCATATTTGATAACGACTGCAGATGATGTCCAAATGATTTTTACAGCGTTCTTGCAACCGATAGGAAAAGGTTTCGGACACGGCTTTGCAGCTGCATGACCGCAACAGGATCCGGGCACAGTTTCATCATTTACAATGTAATCGTTGTCGCCATTTTCACCGCAGCATTTGAACTATACAAAAAATTTGACCATTTAATTTCGTTCTTGTACAAACACAGTTTTGGTAAAAATCTTACGAATCTTTCGAATGTATGCAGAATGTTGAAATCTGTCTTTCGTTGTTCAAACACCTTTTGAACAAATTTAATTACATCCATTAATATAGCATGATATTTCGTCCAGAGATAGATGACAAAGGTCAGTTGGCATAGGAATAAAATTAAAATGATCACCGAGTACTACGAGAATAGTTATTTTAATGTTAATAAAGACCAATCTAAAGCGCAGGTATAACAAAAGCTCACAATCCTTAGTTGAACAACCTTTCCGCGCAGCGTACCCCAGCAACCCAGCACCGATAATAAGACGACCGACACACCCATGGCTAAGGTTGCGATCGATACAGTGTTCATGGACATCATTTCCTTAATGTTAGATACATCTTTGATATGTGTGACCATGATGGTTCCCATTACAGAAAGAATTAAGCCGCATATCTGAAATAGGAACGTTTCATTCGGTTTATAAATAGTAACGTTCGTAATAATTGTGGTCTCTCCAAATGCGGGCTCCCAAAGAAAACAGTTATTCGCAGTCTAATATTAAGCCGGACTAGTCATCCCAGTGAATAACTTTCAATAATTACTTTGATGAACCTGATATAAAAGTTATGCATAATTTACAATGATTTGATCTACAATAGATTGGCTTTATCTTTTTAATATTTAAATTAGTTAAGTCTAGCTCCAACGTAAGCAGATAGAGTCTATCTTAATAATGGAGAAGACAGAAACACACCCGCCAAATTTATATGATTTTAACTAAAACCTGAGGAATGTATCGACTTTTTCGACTTGCTACGCTTCAAATGAGCATACATATTTAATTTTATGTATAATGATCAGAGGATGTCAAAAGGCCTGTTATGGTTAGAAAATAATAATAATAATTCTGTTTGTCAAACTTATCGTGCACTTTGTCCTTCTCATAGCTTACATAGTAATGAAGTTAAGTTTTTTTCATAAAAATTTCTATCATTTCTTTCATTGATATTCCAAATATACTTCTTTGTTCTGTTATGATTTAAACTTGTGTAATTTTGAAACAAAGACACGTTACTATTTGTTTTTTTTTTTCCGCTGATTGCCTACACAAATTGTTTATATATTATTATATTATATTAGCTAGAATATTTATTCTAACTTTTCAGCTTTTCAATTAGGTGGGTGACAAATCGGCAAACAATTTCAAAATACGTCAGTTTTTGAATAAATTTCAAAATATTTACTATTTTCGATTTGCCACACACATAAATTGGGGAAACCCACGAGAAAATGTTCCAAATTTTAAGTTTTTGGTTTCAATAGCGGCGAAAACGGTTTCAAGAAGCACTTCGTACAGAAAGCATATAATAATTTTTGAGTAACTCAAAATAATCAAGAATATTACAAATAAAAATTCGTTCATAGTTTTTTAGTTACTCGCAGACAAGTTAGGTAAATCAATATTATTACTAGAACTGTTAGCTGTTCATTTATTTACCAAACTTAAGACATTGAACGACATCAGCAGAAATTTAACTAGTTCTGTACTCAATCTCATGTTTGCCAGCGACTTATTCACTTCTTGTCGGAGACTCTTTATATTCAACAAATAACACTCAGTTCTCGTGGGCGACTAATGGTAGCTTGTGAATTCCGATGCTTATTAAAAATAATTTGCAAAGCTTTTAATACTGTAAAAAACTCTGCTCGATTTAGTCACAGAAATGCGATTAACATAGAATTACATACCACTGCCTAACCGCAGATGAGGGCGAGAAGTATTTCTTAGTAAATTTCAAATGAATCTTGAAAGAGAAAAGCATTGAATAGCGGATTCAGAGAGAAGAGGAGAGCACTTTTGAAATACTGTCGAAAATATGACATATTAGGTAGAGAAATCAAGTAGGTATTGACCTACAGGTCGGTAAAGCAACCAAAACTAAAATAGGGACATTGAAATTATCTAAAAATATAGAAAACAATAGCCAATATACTTATGTCTTGAAAGGCTGATTCATTAGTCTAACCCCCATATATTAGGTCATTATTATTTGTCTTTTGTATAAAAATCTGAAATAGAATCAAAACAAAAAAAATAATAAAAACGTGAACAGACGTGCAGAACAACTATAAAAAAAACTTTTTTGTAAGAAATCTTAAAATGGCTGGCAAGACGTCTACCAATAAGCTAACAACTGTGGTGGCAACAGCAGGCTACGGGCCGGACACAATGACCGAGATCAGCTATATGGACAGCAAGGTTATTGGAAATGGTAGCTTTGGCATTGTCTTCCATGCCAAGCTGATGCCCAGCAACGAGGCGATTGCAATCAAGAAGGTTTTACAGGATCGCCGCTTCAAGAACCGCGAGCTCCAGATTATGCGAAAGCTTAAGCACCCAAATATTATAACTCTTAAATACTTCTTCTATTCCAGTGGCGAGAAGCGAGATGACGTTTATCTCAATTTGGTTATGGAGTTCATGCCCGAAACGCTCTATAAAGTGGAGCGACAATATGCACGCGCAAAGCAAACTCTGCCCGGCAATTATATCCGGCTCTATATGTATCAGATGTTCCGAAGTCTGGCATTTATGCACAGCTACGGCTTCTGCCATCGTGATATTAAGCCGCAGAATATGCTCCTCGATTCGGAGACAGGCGTATTCAAGCTATGTGACTTCGGCAGCGCCAAACAACTTACACCTGGCGAGACGAATGTCTCGTACATCTGCTCCAGATATTATAGATCGCCCGAGCTAATATTTGGTGCTACGCATTATAATACAAAGATCGATATGTGGAGCGCTGGTTGCGTGGTGGCCGAGTTGCTATTGGGCCAGCTCATCTTTCCCGGTGACTCGGGTGTCGATCAGATTGTTGAGATTGTCAAAGTAATGGGCACACCCACGCCAGAACAACTCCACGCCATGAATCCAAACTACAAGCAATTGAAGTTGCCGCAGCTGAAGGCGCATCCGTGGCCCAAGGTATTTCGCATACGGACACCACCCGAGGCTATTGATTTGGTATCCAAGCTGCTGATCTTTACGCCCAATGACCGCATTTCGCCGCTGACAGCGTGTGCGCATCCATTCTTCGACGAGCTACGCAACGATCCCGGCCAGCAGTTGCCCAGTGGACGACAGCTGCCCCCATTATTTGATTTCACAGATTACGAGAAGACCATCGAACCAAAGCTGATGCCGATGCTAATACCGAATACCAGCACTGAGAAGCCTGACGCATCGGGCAGCTCTGGCAATCGGTATACCGCCGGAGAGGACAACTCACCCAGGCTGGACAGCAATCAGTCGACGCTGCGCAAGTCGATCAAGGATCAATCAGACGTACTAATGAAGCCGGGGGACAATGTACATGGCCAGAGAACAACAACGCCTCAATGTATGCAGCGACGTGAGTTGGGAAACGGTGACCATGTTGGCAGTACAGTGGTATGCTTTGAGGAGACAGAGACAGATATCTGCGAGGAAGATACCATCACAGACGTTGCCGACGAGCATGGGGCTGAGGAGCAATATAATAGCTCCGACATCGCCTGCTCCAGCGATGAGCTCGACGAACAGCAATCAGATGACGAGGACGACAACAATGACAACGACGATGAAGACGGTGCCGATGACGATGATGATGATGACGACGACGACGACGACGACGATGACGACGACGACGAGGACGATGATGACGATGACAATGCTGATGATGATGATCTAGATGATGATGAAATACACTAAGTATTGTTATTGTTGTTGTTTCTCGAATTCCTCAACGCAACAATTGATGAAAGCAATAAAAATTTAAGGTATATCGAAATCAGAGCTCGTAAATCTCACCCGTCGGGTGAGCGGCAGCGTTAAATAAATGAACTAAACGCATATTTTGGTCACATTATTTATAAGGTCACAATGTCGTCACATTTGCGCGAAAGCAGACGCCAGACACGACGAATGGACATGGAAGTGCCCGAAAGTATGCTTAATTATTGAAATGCGGCCAGTGTGAGGGGTTGACGCGGCGTCTGGACGCTGTTCAGGACATAGTCCTAGCTGCCCTCTAAATATAAATTTTCGCGTTTTATAGGGCCGGCACACACACACACCATTGCAAAGGAAACAACGCTCAGACGAATTAGAACAGGCTACAAAACAACACGCACACATGTCCTGCTGCTGGCGGCAACGGCTCACATTTCCTGTCCCATCCATCGTCCTGCAAACCCGTGCATATATATATACGTGTCTGTGTATGTGTGTGTGTGTTAATGTGGTAAAATGAATTTTCAGTTTCATTAGTTAAATTGAATAATGGAAAACTTTGCTTGCCACATTTGCCATACGCCGTGCTCCTTGTTGTTGCTGTTGTTGTAAATGGCCTTGTCCTGGTCTGCCAACGAAACTTACACTTCCTGACACACACAGACACACACATTGTAACAACAACAGGGCTTAGGAGCAGGGCAATAAAGCAAATTTATGCAAACGATAAATTTCGTGAGAGAAAATGTTTGTTTTGTTTTCACCAGCTCGAGTTGCCTTCGCTTTCTTGTTGTTGTTGTTGTTGTTGCTGTTGTGGTAATTGGCTGTTGTAAGTGGTAGTGTTGGAAAAGGCGCTAAGTAACACCTACCCATTATAGGAAAAGTTGTTGAAAGTTGTTGTCCACAGCATTCAACTCTGAATACTTATAATTTAAGCCTGCGATTACCTGTACTTCGCACGGTTAAGAGAATTTTTATTGAACATTTATAAGAATGCAGCAAGCTGAAACTCCTATTTATCTATAGCTGGTCTGAACTTACATATCTAAGACTCCCTATCTTTCAGGGCTAAGCCGGTTTAAAACCTTTGTAAATGCTAATGTGTTTAATCAAACAATATCTGACCCGACGAGTTCATCTACTAAATACCAGCACGACTTGGAGTTCGAGCATATTTTGTCGTATCAACCCCAAGAGCAGCGCTTCAAGGGCGGCAAAAACGGCTCCATAATAAACACGCCAAAGTGTTTGCCCCATGCGTGTGTGTCTGTGGCTGGGAGTGTGTCTGTTTAGCAGAGAGTGTTTCGGTTGGTCGTGCAAAACCTTTGACTGTAGCCAGATTACGGTATGCTACACACTATATAATAGCAGCTCATGGAACCGTGAACAGAGAGCGAGAGAACTGTCTGACTTTAGCGAGGTGTGGCACACAAGTCGACTGCAGATGTCTACCCCATGTGCGGGTGGCAGAAGCCACCTAAAGCAATGAAACATTTTTCGGCAGCAACAGCCACTGGGGAAAGTAAGTTGGAGGCCAAGGCTCTAACTTGCAGGCATTTTATGGCCTTTTGGGCAACGCAGCTGGAGTTGGAGTAGGAGCTGGAGTAGGAGCAGGAGCAGGAGCAGGCACTGGGTCATGGCATGGAGTTTGTATCTTTTGCTGCTTTCAATGGCTACTAACAAGCAGTCGCCCAAGGTGAATGCGGTTAAAGTGTTTTCAGTTAAAGCACTCGGGCCAAGCATTTGCATAAACGCCTGACGCCCACGCAAACACACAAGCAAACAGACAAACAAATGCAAAACTGCGTGCCACGAGCTGACTGGGCAAACAAGAGAGAGGCAAAGAGAGGGAGGCAGCATTCTGGTTGCCACTGCAACTGGCTGACTGGCGAGTGATACCAGAGTTATTTTATTTCCGTTTCCGGGCACGCACACTTTTAGCTAGCCAAATGCAAAGTGCGCCTGCGGTTGCTACCTTTCTGCACACTGATAAATTTTCACTAAATGCAATTTTAATGGGCTTTGTATAACTGCCGAAATGTGTAATAGGAGCCGCAGCTATTTAGCCCTTGCCCCTCGCCATATTTAAGCAGTACTTAAACATGTTGCAAATGCTGTTATTCGAAACTCTGAAATGAGATTCGTAACTCAAATTACTCAACTCGAGACTAATTAAAATCGAAACTCACATTTGATTCGAAAATATCATGAAATATTTTATTATTTATAGCTATAATATATGCAATGAATCTGCTCTCTACAGGCAGCTCGTTGTATCAGCTGAGAAGACAATTCAATTAAATTAGATTATCAGGCCCTGACTCGCTGTTCGTCTCTACAGGGTATTTTGAAATGTTGTTTGTTGCTGCTTGTCTATGGCAGAGGCCCCAAGGGCGCAGTGGGCAGTGAGCAGTGGGCTGTGGACAAGGGCGGCGTTGGCTGGGGTTCATGCGTTCTACTGCGGTTTGTCCAAATAAAGCAGTTTCAGTTAGTTATGCGCAGCTTGCGGTTTTGCTTTGACTATTTTTGCGTGCAGGCATTTCAAATGCAGCCAGAGGCACGCAGGGGCATTAACTAAAGGTGGGCGGAGTGTGTAGCCGACACACAAATTAGACAATTTTGTGCACTTTAATGCAATCAGGGATGCCCACATAAATTCATTATTGAATTTACACGCTCCAAGTGCGCGGGAAAGAATTCTAGTTTACGTAATTTACGTATGCTCTTGAACTTTATCAAAAGCGCAAAGTTTCCGCAAAATTGAAGTTTTAATTGGATTCTCGATTCAATTAACAGATTTGTCAGCATGTAACAGTTTTATGACGCTTACAGCAATGCCAGCTGTGGCAACATCAGCAGCAGCAGCAGCAGCAAAAACATCTTTGGACTTGTGGGCGTGTCCATGCGCCTTCAATTGGTGCGCTTACCTTGTGCGCTTTTCAAGCCGCTTGAAATTTATTGAAATTGATTTGCCATTTTAATGGAATTACTGCGCCAAGTCGTTGCATTGCCATTGCCATTGCTCGACATTTAATTGAAATCTTTTAATTAGTTTGATTTTCCAATCAAGTGGCACAGAGACACGCACCCAGCCGCTCCCTCAGTGTGGTCTTGTTCTAACCCATTGTAGAGAGCGTTAAGCGAAACCCAATTAGTTGCAATGCCTTGGAGTATGCTTCGACATCACTTCAGCTTCCATTATTCCATGTTGTTGAGCGCACGTCGATTACAAATACTATGCTGGCATCAAGGCGCAGAGTGCCGACCTCAAGCCCCAAGTCAGGATAGCATGCAAAAGCGACTGTCTATCCTGACGGGGGCTCCTTCCAGCACTTACGTTTTGCCCGTTGCGCAACATAATCATTATCCTTGGCTTAGCTGGAGCAGAGTGGAGCGGGGCCAGGACTGCGGCAAAGGATTTCGCCTATTGATACCACCAAAGTGAAAGCCAAATCCACATAATATCAATTTGCTTTCAACGTTTCGCCGTCGGCGTAAATAAACGAGTCAGACAGTTGACGCCGCAGCCGACACAGCGACATGAATCTTGCCCATTGTGCAGCTCCAACCGTCTCCATGCTGTACTGATAGGGATCTCAGCTTGTGAAATCTGAGCGACTTTCACAGTGCCTCACAGTTCGGCCGACAGCAACTGATGGAGCTTTGAGGCAGATAACCAGAGCGAGCATTAGAACAGAGGCGAGGCCATAACCAGAGAACTAAAGAAAGTGAAACTAAATATCTTACAGCTCGCAGAAGTTTTTAACTACAACTAAATGAAGTAGCAAATCTGGAAAATGTTTTAAATTTAAATGCGCACCAGAATCAAAAACCTTTCTTAAAGTTATGAATATTTTGTAAGATTGAAACAAATCTGAGCAAATAGCAAATGTGAATGAACAGTAAAAATTGTGTTTATGTAAAATAAAAAAGATGTGTAATATTTATATTACCTGAATAATAGTGAGCAGCTGAACAGAAGTGAATAGTCTTTTATTCAGTTCTGTAGCACATTTAGCGCTAAGCCTTGACTAGTGAGTGAACCTGTAAGCCAGCGAATACATCTTAAATTCAGATTTATTTAGGCCCTATTCTATTATATTTTTAATATTTCAAGTTAATCAGATTTTTGTGTGTTCGTTCTGTTGTTATTAGTAGCTAGATTAGATGCAAGCTGGTTTGGATGAGCTGATCTGGAGCTGTGTCGCCACAGCCCTAAGCAGTGAGTTCCTCACAAGCCAGTCAGCACCAGTTCAGTTCTGGTCTTCCATATAGCCAGGCTGTGAAGAAGTTAGCAGCAGAACACCAAGAATTATGCGATCGTAACAATATATTGCATACTTTTAGGATTGGCAAAAGGAGTCAAAGGCAAGTTGCTGACGAGGCAAAGCCATTAAATCTTGTACCTTTATATTTGCAGAGATTCAAATCCATCTGCATACCTATGCTGCACAATAATTCTGTTGCCACACTTTCGTATTCATTTTGTTCTACTCTTAATTTCATTTAGGCCACTTTTCCAGCATCACATATGCATTGTTCATTTGCCAAAGTTTCTTTCATCTTGGAACTACTGCTTGTATCAGCGTCTAATAAATACTTCTTTCTCCAGCCACTAACTCGGGTACTTTGTAAAAGTTTTTGCTCAGTTCTATGCAAATGAAGCCAGGCATTTAAGTTGCAATCGTTATCCCAGCTCAGAGCCTCACAGGCACTGAGAACTATCCATAATTTACATTAGCTGAACGCAGAAGCCACCAATAAGCAGCTCCATGGATTAGCTCTAGTTGTTGCGGCTCCACAGACGCCAGCCCACAGGCGTTGCGTTGCGTTGCGTTGCAAAAGAAACGCAACAAACCCACTAACAAATCCATTATAAGCTTATGCCAAAAGCGTTGTGTAAACTTTTCACACGAATTGCCAGTTTCAGTTTTTCAGTTCTCAGTTTTTCATTTCATGCAGACAAGGCGGTGCAATTATTTGAAATGCGGCTGCAGCGCCACCACGACACAAGCTAACCAGACCGCCAAAGAGGTAGGGGCAGAGACATAGCCGGCGACCCGACTCGGACCCAAGCGCAGCTGGAGCTGGCAAATGGAGTCAAAGTCAAAGCCAAAAGCCCGCGACGTACGTGCATAATTAATTCAGTGCATAAATTCAAGACGTTGCCTTTCCAGCAAAGCGGAGCGGGTAACTCTATGAAATTATAAACTTTATCCTTTACAACTGCAGAGCTTCCACTGACTGGCTTTGTGATGCGCCAATGTCGTCAGATGACTAACTGCACACGGCTTTAAATAAATTAACACGCCAAGTGAATGTGCCAAGCCGAGATAACCAGGGGCAGGCCTCTGCATAGGCAATTCTATTCTTAACAAAGTCGGGATTAGGATGAGCTGGAAAATTGTAACAAGAGAGACGTATTTGAGAAGAAACAAATACTAATTGGAAATAAATAAAAATATTTTAAAATTCGGAAATTATCTTAAAATCGATGTTTTTCGATATATGTGTATGGTAACATTTATAAACTCATTTAAGGATCGATTAATATGAATAAGATTTAATTCAATGTTGGCAAATTATTTCAAAGCCGATATTTATCGATATTTATATACACAGTAATGGAGGCGTTGTCATAGACATAGACAGGTCGATAAGAATGTGTATGTATTGATTCAAATAATACTTGAGGAGCTACTTCCAAATCGATATTTATCGATATATGAATATAGCAAAAGAGGCATTTAATTGGGAATGCATAATAAGATCGATTATCAAGAATAGACATTGATTTAAATAATACTTGGGATAGTATACAGAAATCGATATTTATCGATAAATGTATATGGCAAGGGAGGCGTGAATTTAAAAATGCATGGTAATATCTGGGAACATTTATAAATATAGATAAATAAGTATTCTTAGATATAGGTGGAGAAGTAGTTGTATATAGATCGATAAGTATGAATAGATATAAATCGATATATTGTATTTTGTATCAATTCAAGTATCCAGTATCAACTATTTCATGATTTCCTTCTATTTAATTAGAGAAGTTTCCATAAGATTTATAGACCATCTACCACTTCTTCTATTTATAGGGTATAAAACACAGTTTGAAAAGGCAGCAAAACGATTTCAGCTGCTGTCGCCAGTTGCCAGTTGGCAGTTGGCAGTTGCCTCTGCTCTTTCTCTGTTCTTTATTTTCAGCTCTTTCGAGTGCTTTTGCTCTTTGCATTTTGACATTGTCAGCAGACGGCGTCCTCTATATCCTTTGATGCCTGGCAGCAGGCTCAAGACTTCAGCTCCTGGTGCTGGTAATTGAAAACGCAAGTTTATTTCGCACTTATTATAAGTGGGCTGAGCCGTAGGCGTAGGCGGCAATGGGCGTGGTCGCATTGAGTTACCAGCCAGTGGCGCACTTATTGTATTAATCTGATTTTTCGGCAACAGCAAGTTTGTAATTAGTAAAGTTTTGATTGTGCCTCGTGCAGAATTTCTTTCATATTTCTCACATTTTCAACTTGCCTCAAATTGATTTCCCGTTCATCAGCACCAACGTAAGCCCATTCGGTGGCAGATGGGTGCACTTTGCATAAGTACGAAGCCTGGCCCGGGCCTGCAGTTCGAGTCGAAGCTATCGAAAGCCGCTTTGCAACTCATTGGAGATGGTAGCCGCTGCCGATTGGATGCCTTCTCACATGTGCCTCCGGCCAGGAAGCGCATGAATTGTGCAGCAGCCTCTGAGCAAACGTCTCCAACTGGCCAAGTAAGCGGCTTAGAGTCGGCTCTCACCAAAACAAAAAATGTTGTAAAAAGTGCGAACTGCATGTAGAATTATTCAAAATTCGTTCGTGCGCACTGCGATAGCAATAGCAATAGAAATGGATGGAAAGTGTGGCGAATGCATATGAGCTTTTTCCACGTCTGACATTTACAGTCCATTAAAAAATGCAAATCACACGGGGAGGCATTAAAGTTTGCCGCCAATAAGAGAAAAAACGAATAGAAAAGAAAATAAAATAAAACACGCCCTGCGAGACATCCAGAAGCTGCTCCAATTCGAACAGTTGCCAGCAACAATTACTGTAGTCACGTCGGGATCAAAGGGCGGCAAATAACATCAGCGTGACATGGCTCGAGTCGGACAAAGAAAAACAAAATATGGATGCGGCCTGGACAATAGGCGGGCTCTGCTGGCTGCCAACGTGCTAGAGGAGTTGATTGGAAATGCGTTCATATCCTGGTGGCGTGGCATCCGGTGTGAATCGCGGACACACCAAACGAAACTCTGCAGGCGCACATTCAGGTGCACATCCAGGTGCTCGCATGCTCGTGTCCGATGATTGATTTTGCCCCAACTGCAAAACAAACTAATAAGCACCACAGGCCGTCCGGCCGACAGACGAGCAGGCTAGCAGGCTGGCAGGTTGGCAGATGGGCTGGTGACAGCGCTTTTATTGTTGTGCAATAGTGCGTAGGTGTTTTTTGCAACTGCAGACACACATGCCAAACACACAAGCACACACACAAGCACACACATGTGCACACTCAGTTATGTAGGTATTTCAGCATGTGCACGGATCTTAAGCGCACAACAATGCTGCTTGTACACATGAACAGTTCGTAAACAGGATCAGGCAGCTGCACGCAGAGTGCATTGGTTCTCACGTTTTTACTACTATGAAATACAAAACGGCAAATATAACAATAAATCAAGGTACGAGTCCTTTCACTTAAAGCTAACCGACAAACTTTGATAAGCAATCAAGTTTTTATTTTATATTGTATGTAAAATTAAGGAAATAATCATATGCATACATTCTTTTAAAGGATACTCATTAGTTAAAAACAAAGCTGAACAGTTATCGATTTATATTGTAAAATTTTATTATAAATACTTAATACATAAAAGCGAACTTCAATATTAATCTAATTTTTTTTTTTATAATATTATTTCCTAACATAATTTGTGTATTATACAAATATGTCTTGAAAATGTATTTTGAAAAACTGTGAAACTTTCAGTAGCGCCATCTGTATTTGAACTAATGTACCAGTTATGGTGCACTGCTTAAAGTAACATATTACACTGCTTGCAAAGCTGTGTACAGCATTGCGCTGAACAAGCAGTTCACTAATTTCTTAAGAACGCAAGCTGACTGCTATACATTTTATATACTGAAGAAATTGAACAATAATAAACTAATCGATAGATTCTTATCGGCTTACTCTTGAACTCGGAATTTTGTAGGTTCACTCAAAAGCTCAAGCCAGGACATGCGCAGAACAACCTACGCTGACCTTAACCACAACAACAAAAGCTGTAGCTGTATCTGTCGCGCACAACAACAAAAGCTGTAGCTGTCGAACACAACAACAAAAGCAGTAGCTGTAGCTGTCGAACAAAAGCAACGCAAAGCCCACTGGGCATTGCTTGGTGCGCAAAACAAAAGGCGCGAATCCAGCGCCGAAAAAAGCCAAACTGAAGACCTGAAGAAATGGCATAACTGGACGGACAGAGTTTGATGAATGCCTGAGCGTAGCTAACGAGCAGCGCAGGGGTTGTCGTCAGCACTGGAACGTATAATTTGAAGTACGCAAAAGATTTTCAGAACCAAACCAAACATAATAAGAGCCACAACAACGTGACTGGCCGAAGCACAAACGTCGACCTTTTTTAAAGCTGTTTTTCGGTGTTGTTGTTGCTGTTGTTTTTGTTCGTTTTCGTGTCTGCAAACTGCAAGCTTCTTGCTCTTAGCGTCCTCTTATCAGAGCTTGTTTTTCGGCACGTTTTTCGTTCTGGTTCTGGTTCGCAGATGCTGTAGCCATGCGCTGGCCTTTAGTACACTGAGAATTGTGGCCACGGCAGGAAAGAAAGTTGTGAGGCTCCATTACTTAAGTAATTAATAAAAGTACAACTGAGTCAACAGAGACAAAGTAAAGTGTTAAAAGTGTTATTAAATATAAATATTTTATTTGATAAAACGCGCAATTGAAAGATGAAAGTGTTTTTGCTCTAAATATGCTGGGGAGACCTTGATATTGTGTTGTGCGAGTAAAACAAGGAAAACGCACTTTTGATTAGCAATTAACTTAGTTAAAATATAACGTAAGTTTTCATTAACGAAACCCCACAAATAGAATGCCTTCACTTGCCTAGGCCACTAAGCTGCCCTTCTGACGTTCGCAAAGCTATTTTTGGCTGCAAAGATGGACGCGAAATGGCAAAAAAGGCGTCCCCCAACAATGTCAGAGTCCGCGCATGTGACGTCACAGTACGCACACATACATAACCACCCACTCACCCAGTCAAACAGCCATGTATACACATACCTTTTCGCAGCTCAACGTCACACAGCTCTGTAATTGTTAGACGCTGTGGCGCCACGTAGATTTGTATTTTTTAAAATAATTTGGTCTTTATTAGTTTATACTTTAACTGAAAGTCTGATGCAATGCGCTCACACAATCTGGTCAGCCTCCAAGCGAAACTTGAGACTTTAGTAAGAATTGCTCGAACCGCTAACCGCACGACAGATTCGCTAAGCCCTAACCTGAATTAATACAAGCTCAATACCCTATCCATCGTCCTGCAGGGTGTGTTGTCACTGAGCGAATTATGCGTATGAGTATCAAATTCAGGCAGCTCCCAAAAAGAAGATTATAAAAACGTAAATGAATTAATGCCCACTGAAATCAATTTGCCTTAGTCAAGGCTAAGAGCCCAATTTATTGCCAATCGCGACAAAAATGTAATTTATTGAAGCTGCCCAAAGATAAAGTGACATATATATAAATTCTCACTAAATTACAAATATTTTATAACGAACTGATTGTATAAAAATGATTTTTAATTAGCCAGAGGCAAAGTTTATAATTGAATTAGCCAGTTAATCAAATGGTTAGGGCAGTAACACGTAATACTTGTTTGTATATAATGCGTATGCTAAGATAATCTAATGAATCATGAAATGATACATTTTTTATATACATGCAATATTCAATATATATATACATAAAATCTATTAGCACTATTCTACTACCATAATACATCAGCGAGTCGACTAAATCAAATTGAAACTCACTCAGAAATCAATAAATGTATTCAAGTTGCATTAAACCAGTTATCCTTATGGTAATTTAATTAATCGAAAGCTATTATGCAGTATATCGGCAATATTAGCAATATTTGTCACGCTTTTTGGACAAAGCTTTACAAACGTCACGCGCCAGAGAATCCGAAGTATCTGGCAACTGGCAACTGGCAACTGGCAACTGGCAATTGGCATATGGAATTCGAATGGCATACAGCATCGGTATCAGAGCTAAACAAATAATATTGCAAATCACTTGAACAGCTCTACAAATGCTAAACATCACGACAACAAGCTGCGATTCAAATTAAATTAATATTAAACGACTTTTAAAGCATGTATACCTCAGCTCAATGACGTTTTGGGCGCCCCATCACCGCTTAAGTGACTAATGAACCGGGGCTTGAGCAATGTAACACATAAAACACTTGAGAATAGAGCATAATGCATGCTAGAGGCTGTGAGCTCAAGCTCCGCACACTGTGAAGAGCAATCTAAACATGTTCGCAGCGACCTAAGAATACAACTTTAATCAAATAGATCAAATATATCCTAAATTGCGTAGGCTATTTGTGTGCTTTATGGAGAAATTGCAAACGTCTTTAGTTGACTTCATTGTAGCAATCGAGGCAGACAGACGAATTCGCATTAAGCTATTGGACAGACATTGCCCCAAGTGCGGATACATTCAATTATAGACTAGCAAATGCGACAAACTGTGGGATTTCAAATTTGCATAACTGAGCGGATGACAAAGTGTGAAAGACATGAAAGATACAATTCATTATGTATTGTGTGCGCATCTGCAGTCTTCAGATTCTTTTGTATCTATCACAGCTGACAGCTGAAAGCTGGTACAGTTGAACTAACTAAATATTGTGGACCATCCGAATTTAACTAAATTTGAAGTGCCCCAAGATAAAGGAAATAAAAAACGTGTTGGCGCAGAGCGTCAGAGCAAGCACAGAGCATTCTGCTAATTAACTAGAGTTGCGTACAATATAGTAGTGTCTGTTAGATAAAAGTGACGCGTACTTTTTCCGCTTTGCTGGCAATTAGAGGCAAACACGTTGAGAGAACACAGTAAAACACAGAAACGAAAGAAAAAAATACAACTTTTGTTACGGAAACAGCAACAGCAACAGCAACACCAGCAACGACGATTCTGATGAAAGCCAAATACACAAAGAAATGCGGCAATCGCCGCTTCAAAAACTCGTTTTCGGTTCAAAAATTACAAATTCAAAAATGCCGGTTAGAAGCGAACGAGCCCTCCAACCGAACCGCCAATCCCCGACAAGTTCGACGTAGCGCAACAGCCGCATCAAGCTCTGCCGACACGGCCCAAAGCTCGGACCGAGCACAGAGCTTTATCAGCGCCGTGTAGGTGATGCCCACGGCCAGCCAGGCCGAGGCGCATACTCTGGTCGAGATTGCGCCGCAAAGATGCCGTGTAGCAGCCAACGCTCTTTTCAGTCTACTCCATTCGCTGATTGCGCGCGGTTCCACTTCTCGTCGTGCTTGCCCACTGTCAAACGCATTTCTGTGGCGCGAAACAGTGTATTTGCTAGTGTGAAGGTAGCTAACACAAATATCGAAAAGAAAATACTTAAACAACTGTGTGTACTCTTGGCCTGGCTTAATGCAAGAAAATATTATTTATTCCCAGCGCGTTTTTTGTGTGTGTTTGCTTTATGAAGAAAAAACAAACAACAAAAATAAATAAAGAAAAATTAAAAATGGTTTTGCTGCTCAAAATAAAAGCTATTTTTGTAGCTGATTTAAGCATTTCAACAAGGGCTTCAAGATTAAAATCTTTATATAAAAAATGTCAAACAAAATTAAAAAAAATCATTCAGTTCTAATGCTTAAATTGATGCGCACAAGCGAAATATCTAAAGAATCCAACCAGTTCACAATTTACCGTGCTATAATAACTTAATTAGTCAGTCGAATGTTGCAAAATCTATAATATAGTACATAAGCATTTTTATAGCACCTGTGTGAAACAAGAATTGATAGCCCAGTCAGGAACATGCCCACACATAATTCGATAGATAGCTGCAAAAACTATTTTGTATCTTGCTGACGGTATCAGAATTAATGGATTTTATGTACACAAATCTAATATATATAGTCTGCATGAATCAATGCGCTATTGTTGTGATTTTGGCCAAAAAAAAAACAACAGAAACAACATCAAACGGGGCTAATGACTGTGAATAGCAGAGAGAAAGGCCAGCAGCATGTATAATACACAATTGTTGGGTCTAATGGCTTACTAAATGGCAATTATAATTGCCTTTCACACGCTCAAAATACACAGACTCATGACTAAGAAATGTTGTAAGTTACCGAGGAATTCCCTCTTATTACAGTCTTTGGAAGTTTCCGTTTCGCTATCGCGAAAACCCCACATTAAAACTGAAATTCCAATAGACAATTTGCTCGAATTGCTCAAAACTGATTGCCACACAAATGGACGCAAATTTTCGACCATTTTTTGATGGTCTACAATATGTTTTTTTTTCTCACTCCGTTCTGCTTGACTGCCCAACTGTGAAGCCAAAAGAGAAACTTCAGATGGCTAATTAGCAGTATACCTTTGTATACCCTGTAAAGAACTTAATCCATTCAGCAGTTTGTTATCATAATAACCTTTGATATAGTTATAAAAAAGTGAATCCAAATGCTTTGTACGAGCAGCTCATTAGTTTATTCACCTGTTTGTGTTAACTGTCGCACCATAGTTGATTCACATCTGTTGTTGTTCTCACTTTGATGTTATGCTAATTCATGCAAAGCGTGTGCCCACTGCCGGTTCTTGCTTTGAAGGAAGTGCCTGACTATATATATACCGCGACTGCTATACATATATGCCAAACACATATAACAACAACATTGTGACCTAATCAGAGCTGAAATGATAGAGAGAGAGAGGCGAGGCGAGAGAGTATTGGGTGGGCGGTGCCCGATAGTTTTTTGTTTGCTTTCCACAGCCTTGAACTGATTCAAAAGGAAAATGTGTTTGGATAGCATAATTTATGGGCCACGCGTAGCGTTCGTCAACAATCAATCTATGGGGGCTCTGACCAATAGTATATAGCATTTTATTTAATGAAAATTTTCGACGGTTTAACGAACCCAGTGAAATCTTACCGTCATGGCTTACATTGGCTGATAACGAGGTCGGCCACAATCAAAAGTTACAACTGCGCCGCGCTAACAAATGTCTGCTGTCTACTTAAAGGTTTGAGAACTGAGATATGTAAAATGTGCTACAAATAATTCGCCTTTTACTGGGCAATGAACTCTGATTGCCTTTCACTCGGCACAAGAGCAAGAAATAAAAGAAAGGGGAAGGAATAATATAATAACAAGCGCAAAGTCGTGGCTTCAAATGCCAGATTTCAAGCTGAAGATTATGTCGAAATCAAAGCTAGACACATAGGGAAAATAAATAAAACTTTTAATGGACTCGTCTAAGACACACGTTCGCAAATATTACTTAACAAAAAAATACACAAATCTCTTCTCGTACTGCGCAATTAATACATCGTAAAACAGAATACATCGTAAGACATTGAATGTGAATTGTTAGTTGCGTTTCACTGCTGAGATGCGATAAACCTAGAGAACAAACTATCTGAGCGGCTGCTAAATCAATTCAAATCACTCGTATTTTAAAGAACCATGTACACGGTATTATAAATAATGAAAACTAACTCCAATGTAGCTAAAAATTGATTCGGAAAGTTAATACTGGAGCTAAAGAAAATAAAATAAAATGAAATTGATTAATGCAAGAGATTTTCTTTAATTTCAAAGATTTGAAATTTAGAGTCAATTTTGAATTCAAAATTTTTCTTAATTTAATATAACAAAGTATAATAGAAATCTGATTCCAATCAGAAGCTTACACTGAACAAAATCTTAAATGTAAAATACATAATTAGTTGTTCAAAAATCAAAGAAAATCTAAGCATAATTCGCTTGAAAAACTTTTCTCTTTTGTTATTCAAAAAATCTACAATTTTTCAAGCTATAGTAATTAGAACACTATTAACCTATCTATTTCTAGACATACCAAATGTGTTACAAAATTGATCGTATACTTTCTATATAAACAACATTGCGGTACACAATACTATGAATAGACATATGTACATATATAGCTAATCTGATTTGATTATAAAATGAACCTGACTGAAGTTCAGTAAAATGTTGAATAAAATCTAATTTGGTTATTAAACAAATGTGATCTAATCAGCTCAGCTAATCGCTATGCATATAAAATGAAAATATAATTCGAATCACATAAAAATATTTCGATTTAATTCCTGTTTTAATCAACAACTTTTATTCTTATATTTTTTTAAATTAATTAAAATTTTTTTATTCTAAAAATGCTAATAAAATGATGTCTTGCAATGAAATCTTGGGAATTTGATTCTTTCAGGCAGCTTCTTCAAGTATCCCGGCTGCAATATGGAAACGGAGTCCCTGAATCGCAAGAACTCCTCACGCAAGAGCTCTGTTGTGAACGGCAACGGAGATGCAACCACCAAGTTGACAAACGGCGATGAGACAACAGCTGCTGAAGGCGGTGGCGGTGGTGGCGGCGAAGTGACACTAAAAGCCAAAATGAGTTTATTGAATGGCTGCACCGTCATTGTGGGCTCAATCATTGGCTCCGGCATCTTCGTCTCGCCCACCGGCGTGTTGATGTATACGGGCAGCGTTAATTTGGCATTGATTGTGTGGGTCATATCCGGACTCTTCTCGATGGTGAGTGCTTGGAATTTACGAGAGGGGGTCAGTGCCATATAAATATTGATTAACTAATATGCAAATGAAGGCGCCGTTAACTAACTAACCGAACACCTGTTGGCTGTTTGTAAACAGTTGTGGAGGCAAAGTCAAGTAATGGAAATGCGCATGCCAATGTAAAGCTATCAGCAGGACCAATACTCAATTATTAATGCGGGCTGCGTTTTGTCTTTTAATGAAATTATTGAAATTCTCGCATACCCCAAGCACAGACACACATCCAAGCACGCAGGACCGACACGCCCTTGTCAAGAACACGCATTGCTTGTGTTGCTGCTGCTGCTGCTGCTGCTGCTGCTGCTGCTATTCAATAAAAATTAAGTATACGCTGCGTGGCCGCTGACAGTTGAGTTGCGGAAATGACAGCTGCTTTGGGGTTGAAAGAATCCAATTACTTTAAGAATACTTTAAACGAATCTATTCACAGCACACACAAATTTCTCCTGAATATCGTCTTTAGGTGGGAGCCTACTGTTACGCCGAGCTGGGCACCATGATAACAAAATCTGGAGCTGACTACGCGTATATTATGGAAACTTTCGGACCATTCATGGCTTTCATACGCTTGTGGATCGAGTGTATGATTGTGCGACCCTGTTCGCAGGCCATCGTGGCGCTAACGTTCAGCACCTACGTGCTGAAGCCCTTCTTTCCGGAGTGCACACCACCCGAGGATGCGGCAAGGCTGCTCGCCGTTTGCTGCATATGTGAGTATGCGAAATATATTAGAGACGGGTAGCATCAGTGTTTCGTACTTGACCTATAGATTAGACCCCATTCGAGCAGATCCCCTGAGAACAGAGTAAATATGAATGTGTATGCGAAAAGTGTTTGCCATCGGCTTATCAGCAGCAGTAACCGAGGCGGGAGGCACTTTGATTTCCGTTTTATTGTTGCTGTTGTTGTTGCTGGGGGTAAATAGACTAAATAAACAACACACAAATAAATCTATATTTTTTTACTGTCGTGTAACAGCTGACAAAGATCGATTGGAAAAATCCAGCAATTTTTAGATTAGGAAATTGTAACGTAAAATTATTTAATTTTGAAACTTAAATTATAAATATAATTTATAATTTATAATTAGAATTTTAATTTAAAATATAATAAATTTGTGATGATAGAAATATTCATTTTAATAATCGTAGTTCATCTTTTAGCTGTGATCAACTAAATATTCATTTTAAATCATATTTCGTATCAGATTTGTTCAGCTTTTTATTTCAGTTGTAGACTAAGAAATCCAAGACAAACATCTTAAAGAACATCATTTATATCATATGACATTTTCCGAGATAAACATCTGAAAGGACATTATTTATACTATATGACATTTACAAAGCCAAACAACTGAAAGGACATAATTTATACATATTTGATCAGATTGTAAAGTTCACTTATGTAAAATTAATTTGCTTTAGCTTTCTATCAACTCCGATTCATGTGATTTATATTTGCAATACTAGGCTAAGCGAAAGAGATTCAGCCCTAGACCATTTATACTAGTTAGTCTCTGACATCTCAAAGTTAGTTAAACCAAATGTCAGACCATAACTCAGGCAGCTTCAACACGCTGTGACTGACTAACTGATCACGCTGTTTTTGCTTATTCAATATAGATTTAATAATGCGGAATTTTACGCGCTCCAGCTATAGAGAGAAAGAAATAAAGTCAATGCCTTTTACATTGTGTAAATCCTAGGTTTATTACATCATCCGAATAGTTGAGGCACTCCGAATGCCTTCTTTCAGTCGCCGGCCGTTTATTGAAGCTGCTTTGTTTTCATTATTTTCATTTTGTACAGTGGTGCTAACATTAATCAATTGCTGGGACGTTAAATGGGCCACCGCTGTGCAGGATATATTCACATATGCAAAAGTAAGTTAAATGGGATTTGCAACTTAATGTTAGAGCTTACTACTGAGCCAGGACATTGGCATTTGCAGCTGCTGGCCTTGTTTGTCATCATTGCGACGGGCATGTACCAGCTGTATATGGGGAATGTGAAGTACTTTACGTTCGACAATAGCGATACGCGCGTTACTTCCTTGGCATTGTCCTTCTACTCGGGCCTGTTCGCCTACAACGGCTGGTAAGCGTTAAGCGGCTTTGTCTTGTCGCTTGGTCTGTTTGGTCGCTCTAATTGGATCTGTGCTTGTTTGCTGACAGGAATTACTTGAACTTTATCATTGAGGAGCTGAAGGATCCCGTCAAGAATCTGCCACGCGCCATTGCCATCAGCTGCACACTTGTCACCGTCGTCTACGTCATGGCCAACGTATCCTTCTACACCATCCTGTCGCCGGAAGAAGTTTTAGGTTCCTCTGCAGTGGCTGTGACCTACGCGGAGCGCGCGTTTGGCATGCTGGCCTGGACCATACCAGGTGCGTCCTGTTTAACGAAAGAATGTCGTTTAGTTCTATGCTAAATATCTTTTCCTTTTCTAAATATCTTCAGTTTTTGTGGCATTGTCCACATTCGGTGCCGTCAATGGCATTTTGCTCACCTCTTCGCGTCTGTTCTATGCGGGCGCCAACGAGGGGCAGATGCCAGAGATCTTAACCATGATTCAAATTCAACGCTTTACGCCCACGCCCGCTGTGCTGGCCATGGCTCTGCTATCCATGCTGTATCTTACGGTCTCCGACATCTTTGCGCTTATCAACTACGTGGGCTTTGCGACTTGGGTAAGTTCAACTTAATTGTTTGATTGGATTTGTCTGACATTTGCTTTTCCCTTGCCAACAGTTGAGCATTGGCGTTGCGGTTCTCTGCCTGCCCTGGCTGCGCTGGGCTCAGCCCAACTTGCCACGCCCCATTCGCGTGCCCCTGGTATTCCCAATTGTATATCTAATTGCCACCGTCTTTGTCACTGTTGTGCCCATGTATGCCAGCCCCGTGGAGACAGGCTACGGCATACTCATGATACTGTCGAGCATACCCGTCTACTTGGTGTTCATTGCCTGGAAGAGTAAGCCCATATGGTTCCAGAAGTCGATGGGTAAGTTGTGAAGTGGCTCGATGGCACACCTGTACATGGTCCAGCTACTTGTCCTTATCGTGTGCTCACCTAAAAAAAAACTATTTTGCAATTCTGTTTCATATATGATTTCTGCTGTGCTCCTCCCGTACCTTGCAATTCTTCTAGGCGGACTTACACGAGCACTACAAAAACTGATGATGGTTGTGCGTCCCAAAGCGGCGTCAAAGGTTTTTAAGTTTGCTCCTTATCCTAGTTTTCCTAAGTTTGTTTTTCGACACTAACGACTAACCAATACACATCCTGCCTGCCTGCATTTGTTTTACATTTTACACTAATTACTAACAATCGGGCTTCGGGTCCGCTTTCATGTTTCCTTAGCACTCTTAAACGTGTGTGGATAGCCACTTGGTTATTCACTGTAGCGCACTCAAGTAGAACTTAGTGGCTCTTAAGTGCTTAACTAATGTAACCAATGCTCTTGTACTTTGCAGTAAGCCTCACACACTTCCTGCAAAAGCTGCTCATGGTACTCGGCAAGCAGACGAAACCAGCTCAGGTGTAGAGATTAGTGCGTGTATGATGGGGAGATGATGGGGCAACAGCCATTGTTGCCAGAGACTACTCTGAAATTATTAAGCAGATGGAGACATCACGTTAGCCAACAGCAAATGATAGCATTTAAAATATAAAACTATACAAAATGTATAACAAAAATTTGGTAAAAATCAAAAAAAAAAAAAAAGAAAAGAAATGAAATTACAATAATTTAGCTTTTGTGCAGCCAGGCAATAACGCAAATAAATACACAAGATTCCAAAGCTCGACGCGCTTTGAAATACAATTCTCAATTTTAAAGCGCGCCCAGCTCCAACAACATAACTACGAATAGATATATTTTTATATATGTTTTAAGCTTACACCCTTAAGCCCCATGCAACACGTTTCATTGTCTCAGCACACAAAGCTTTGGTGCCAATTGCAAGACTGTGAAAAAAACAACAAATGCAAACTACAAGGGAACTCGAAATGATAATTGCCCAAAGCTAAATGTTGCTTGAAAGGAAATATAAATTTACCGTTGGCTTTCAAATTTAAGCAGGTACGAAAGATATAGCATTGTTGCACACATTTATATTAATATGAATCTATGTTTCCATTCATTCATTCGCATCAATTATTTTACAAGAGAAAATGTTCAACTCGCATTTAATTAGTGTTTGTAATTGGCAGCGCTTTTAAGAATGTTGATTAAAATAGTTTAGAAATTAGTTCGACATGCTTCACATACTCAGAAACATTTTTGCATTTTAAGTTTAAGTCTTAAGTATTCTCTAAGTTCAAGTTTCGAAGGCTTTTTATTAGATCTGCCAACTGCCAACTTTATGTAGTTTTCGAAACTATAAGCATCCAGATGAAATCCAGTTACCTTATACCCTAACTACAATAGAGTACATCGCAAGTCGCACATATCCAAAACTGACAAATTGTTCAAAACATTGCCAAGAGACACGAAAACAAACATATTTATCGAAAATTGAATTGTTAATTGAAACTTATTACGATTTTCTGCATGAAATAATTGTTTAATTGTTGCTTTAAATGTTTTTAGCACTATGAAATAGCAGAGTATACCCCATATATAAGCAGATATATGTATATTAAATATCGAATTATGTAACTGTTACACATTGTATTTGGCATATTTAACTATTTGTGTTAGCCCGAAGCCGCAGCTGGAGACGCTGCTCAACTACGATTATGGAACATATTGTTGACAATAATATTGCAATTTATATAAATGTGTATATACATATATAAATTATATATAAACTGTATTTTATGTATATTATATATTATATGTATACCCGTTGAAATCAAACTAATTTCCGACTTTTATTAACAAAATTACATTTTTTTACTTCAATTTCGATTGGAAGTGACAGATTTAACAAGTTTGGTGTGTGTAGGCTCGCGACATGTTTGACTGATTGCTGCTTAAAGCCATTAATCCCTCATCTAGAGTATTTATGTTTAGGCAGTAAACAGACAAATATATTTGATCGCCTACAAGGAGAAAGTGTCAGAAATTTTAATTTATATTCGGCTTCTATGCTCCTTCAAATTGGCTATTTCCTGTTGCTGCAAAGCCTCCTCCGCATTGAGCAACTCGTAGTTTTTGGTACTCATATACGTCGTCAAGGTGGGCGAGAACGGGCACCTTTTCACGTCCCTTTCAAGCTGACGAAACTGTTTGAGCGCCTCTGCATAGCTTGAGGCAGCCATCAGGTCCCTGGAACTGTTCTTGAGCAGCACACCGTGAGCATCGCCACCGCTCTTGTCGTTGAGGATCCGGTAGGAGCTCATCTGCTTACAGAGTTTCATGAACTTTTGGCGATACTGAAAATTGTAATGGCGCTCCATGCTGAGTTTTACTTCCGAAAATTTCAAGTCAATGCGATGGTACCAAGAGGCCAATTTGCTATAGTCATCATGGGAAAGGTTTACCGGACGCGAACGGAACGGTGCGTTCATCAAACCTGTTTGATACTGTGGTTTGCTCGATTCTATTGAGTGACTGCTGCTGCTGGTGCTGCTCATCCTTGTTCTCTTGGTACCGATAGGTTTTGGCACTTCGGTGTTGCCCCGGGCGGCACCAATGCTGGAGTAGATCAAGTTAGCCAGATGTAGAAATTTGTGTGTCTCACACGTGGATTCCTTGTCCAGTGGCATCTCGCACAGAATTAAAGTGCGCGCGGGTCGCTTCAAATCAAACGACTCCTTGATGCAATCGGTAAGCAGAGTACTCTTACAGCGCTTGCCAGCGGAAAACGCCTTGAAAAAGTCCTTTATGTCTGTGCGTTCAGTGCAGTCAAAGATATGGTAGAGTGACAGATATATCTGGTGAGACTTTTGAATGCCATCGCTGAGTATCAACTCCACATTGATGTGATCGTCGCCAGTTCCGCGTGCACGCAGCATGGCATATTCGTTGTGCAGCCATTGGAACATTTCGCGTGTTGTCTGCATCGCTCGTGTGCTTGTCTGTTGTCTGCCTCGAGTTGAGCTTAACAGCATGTTGACCAAATCGAATTTGCGTACATCATAGTATTCCACATTGATGCCAATCAGCTGATAAGGCAGCTTGGCCAGTAACTTGTCCAAATGGGAGACCAATAGATGCGTCAGCAGCTTAATATTATGTGAGCGTCGAGGGGTCAGCCTTAGCATACAGCCGTGACGATGTTCTCGAATCATTTGGTCCAACAGGTAGGTCAGTTCGTTCCGCATGTGCCGATCGTCTTCATAGCCCACAGCGTCGAATTGCAGCTGATGATAGTATCGCGCTGTTAGCGGCTTACCCGTTTCCGCACTGTTCCGCGTTCGCAGCAGCAATGTGGTCTTATCCATGAGCTTGACATCGCTATCGATCGGTGTATTTTTGTTGCTGCTAGATAACTTGTGCATTGTGTCTGTAAGAGACACGATAACGCGATGGACCTTTTCTCCCATGTCGTTAAGAAACGGTTCTGTATTTATTTAAAATTTTTTAGAGTATATATTGCTTACGGAAAAAATTTTGATCAATGATCAAAAATTAGATTTCAAAAACGTTTTCACATATGGAGAAATATAACAAAGTTTACATGGAAATTTCGAAACAGCCATAAGCCTATTTTTCTTTAGGCAATTTGCTACGACATTATAATTTACACAAGGTTGGACAATATTAAAAAAACAGCATACGTAACATCATAATTAGTTATGGATGCTGTTGCCTATTAGGTTCCTCAATTGCTTCAATTTCATCTCGGAAGCACTCAAAGTAGCAAAAAATTGAGTGCGGTCTTTTAAAATCTGGCGGTGTGTATGTCTCAATTGCTGTTCCTGCTGCACATACGTCAACAGTTGGTCATGCAGTGATTGAAAACATTCGTTAATTTCCCGGTGGCAGTGCTCAAAATCTTTTAGTTGCAGCAGAGCATCGCTTTTGGGCAAGTTACCCGCCGTAGGCATGTTAACCTGGAACCGAAGACAGTGGATAATAATTATATCATTGATTTTTTAATCTATCTACTCACAGTCTCTATTCTGTCCTGGTTAGAGTCTTGTTGTTTGTAGGCTAAGTGCGCCAAGGAAAGCAGCTGAACATTTTTGCAATTCACCTGGCAGCCTGTGACCAGCACATGGCACATCAAAAGCATATATAGAGGCTTACTGGTGTTCGCTTCAGCCGCTTGACGTATGTACGTCGTCAATTCTGTGACTGAAAGGGCGGCCGTGAGAGGGTCATGGCTTAAATAGCACCGCAAACCACACAGAGTGCCCATGCACATCTCCTCCATAGCTACAAGCAGAATGTGAAACTTAACTTTGAAGCGAGTACCGTGCTCTTCACTTGCCACCACATATTGCACTTCCAGTGCCTCATGACCCATGGCTACAGCCGTGCGCATCCGATACTCAGTCAGTAGCCAACTCATCAGCTGTCTTATGTTACCGAAATTACATTGTGTGTCCAAGCCATTGGGACTGGCTCCTTCTACCAGATGTTTGTAATGTATAGCGCAATTTTCCAATTGCAAGGATTCCTGCTGAAGTTTCACATTGACTTGAATGATGAGCGCATCGACTAGAAACATCAAATGATAGCCACGCTCAGCAGTCAGATGCATAAGCAGACAGTCTTTTTGATCCACAAATAGAGTCTGAAGCACTGTGATTAGTTCACGCTCCTTGTGCTCCTCTATTTTTTGGGAAGAGAGCATATCAAAGCGCAGTTTCTGTGCCACAAACACTTGAGGCTTGCACGAGTTCTGGCTGCACAAGAGTCGCAAAGTTTTATCATCCAATATGCTTACTTCGCCGCCATATTGGAAAGAATCTTTTTTCACTACATCAGATGATTCTTTTTCATTTTGTGTTTGGTTAAGATAAACAATAACTCGTGTTTGCGCCATTTTTACAAAAACTTAAATAAAATTGTTAAAAACCCAATAGAAAAAGCAAACAAAATGTACAATATTTTCCTACGCAGAAAACAAAACACCGTTACTTTGACCAGAGTGACCGTGCTTTCTTTATTGAAAAATACTTAAAAATGTTATGTACATAGTATTGATGTTACTTTAAAGATCTATGTTATATGCCAAACAAGTAGTGTTAAGTGTTATACAGCTGGCAAACTACGCACACACAAGGCGCTAGTGAAAAGTTTTAATGAAAAGAGCAACAAGTTGCCATTTTTACGCAATTAAACTACTGCAATTAACAAACAAAATTCATTCTGCACACTCTTGATGTAAAGGCAAGCCTCAAAGCGATGCAGCAGCTTGCCAACAATGAAACAGCTGCTATTGCAGAAAAAACACACCGGCTGCAGCATTCATAACAAAAAACAAACGCACACATGCACATGTAAACACACCAAAACAGGCGGCGAGACTCCAGTATTTTTTATTCACACTGCAACCGCGCAGACCCGAACCTTTTTATTTGATTGAGATTTAATGAACAACTTTAGATTTAAATGGCAGCGAAGGAATCATTTCGCGAAAGACAAACGCAGGAATTGGAGGTTATAAAAGTAAGTTTCATTTACACAAAGCCTATTGAAATGTGATGAAATAAACGCCGGCTATTTCCAGTCCATATTTGGCGGCGATGTGGAAGACTTAAGGCCTCAGAGCAACGCGTCGCAGTGGAAGCCCACAGACATACGCATACTCCTAACACCTTTGCGAGATTCTTCTAATGGCCTGCCACAGGCGTATGTTTGCACCAAACTACATGTGACATGCCCATCGAAATATCCAAAGATGTAAGTTGGCTTTTGTCCTTCTATTAATGCTACTAAATTAATTTATTGATTGCTTGCAGCGCTCCGAAAATAGTGCTGGAGGAGTCTAAAGGAATATCGGATCAGCTTTTGGAGGCTCTGCTCGCCCAGCTGCAAGCCCAATCTCAGGAGCTGCTGGGTGAGGTCATGATTTACGAGCTGGCACAGACTGTTCGAGATTTTCTGCTGCAGCACAACAAACCACCGAAGGGTTCATTCTATGACGAAATGCTGCAGGCCAAGCAAAAGCGTGAACAGGAGGAAAAGGACTTGCAAAGGCAAAGGGAAACTATAGAGCGGCAAACTCTTATGGACGAGGTGGAGCGTCGCAAAGAGATATTTAAAACGGAGGCCAAGCGACGTGGTGAACCAAGACGTAGCATGAGCGAATCCAACAATCGTCATCCCAGTTCTTCGGAAAGCTCTGAAAACTCCTCGCCCTATTACCGCGGCTACACATATCCCAACAAGTGCATAGATCATCGAAATACAGAAATGCTCTCGTTTTACAAGGTGGGCCGCCAAATCCAACGTGCCTGCTGCTTGGGTAAGTATTACTACTACTTTTAACATGACTGACTTGTAACTTACCCTTGTACACTTTTAGGCCATTCGCAGCGCGGCTGCATTGCCTACACCGGCGTCGATATGCATTCTGGACAGTTGCTCTACCTAACCGAGTGGAACATCAAGTACTCGCAACTGGAGCAGCCGTGCAGTGCTAATGGCAAATGCCACTGGAGTTCTGAGTCCAAGTGTGTGGGTAACCATCGAGTGGATGAGGTGATAGTCTCCATAGAGAAACAGGTGGCAGCTCTGTCACAATTGCAACACAAGAATCTCATTCAATACGAATGTGTGCTCTGCATCAAACGCAAAGAGGGCCTACTCGTCTATCTGGTGCAAGACTTTCTATTAGGCACGAGCGTTTTTAGCATCTCCTCAACGCTAGGCTGGTGTATGGATGGGGCTCGCATGGTGGCACGTGGTGTGCTGGAAGCTTTGGTTTTCCTACACAACAAGGGAGTCTCGCATAGCCATTTGCTCGACAGCACAGTGTTTATGGACAATGCTGGCAACATACGTTGTACAGACTTCTCGCTGGTGCCCAATTTGCTGGAGCTGATTGGAGGCGTTGGCCAAAGCAGCAATCGTGGAGATTTGCCTGCTTTAGGTGCGCTCGTTGAGGCACTGTTACCCACCCATAGCTACGAAATGCGTGATTTTGTTGATAAGTGGGTCAAGTTCAAGTAAATTTAATTTGATTAGTAACATTTCAAATCATTCTAGATGCAACTCTGATCGCACTTTGTCTGCCTCTGAGCTACTGGAGCATCCCTTTCTACGTTTGTATGTGGACAATGCACAGCAACACTTGACGTTGCAACACACACAGAACCGCAGTTCAATGGTGCCCCAATCCGAGCAAGCTGTGCCCATACAACGTGGTGTGGTGCCCTTTCAAATTCCCACCTTAGCGCTGAGCCAATCTCGCCTGCGCACCGAGTTCGAGGTGCTTATGTATTTAGGCAAAGGTGCCTTTGGGGATGTGCTAAAGGTTCGCAATATACTGGACAATCGGGAATATGCCATCAAACGTATACCACTGCCCGCCCGCAGTCGTCAGTTGTACAAGAAGATGACTCGCGAGGTGGAGTTGCTGTCGCGTCTAAATCATGAAAATGTGGTGCGCTATTTTAACAGCTGGATTGAAAGCGTTAGCGATGCAGATGCGCTCGAGTTGGACAAAATGCTGGGTGGCGATTGGTCGCAGAGTCAGGAGGTGAGCACAAAGCCTGCTAAATCACCGCAGCTCGGGATGACCGTGGAAGAGGAGGAGACGGAGAGCTCGTCGAGCATGTGGAATGGTTACATGTAAATAGGTGGTCCTAAACGACATTAAGTTCTTCATAATATATGTAATATTTTGTGGCAGAGCTAACATGGATGACTCCGACTCGGATGGCATTGAGTTTGTTGACTCAAATGGCCAAGTAGCCGTTTACGACAACGACGACGATGTTAATGAAGACACCGAGAAAGATGATGCAGTGCAGCGCAAGCAAGGGAACTCACCGCGCCCACAAATGCAAGTAATGTACATCCAAATGGAGTTCTGCGAGAAGTGCACACTACGGTTAGTCCAAGCAATATATTCTTTCAAAAACTTGTATTGAACTCAATACTTTTTAGCACTGCCATCGATGATAATCTCTATGAGAACACAGATCGTTTGTGGCGCTTGTTTCGTGAGATTGCTGAGGGACTATCGCACATACATCAGCAAGGAATTATACATAGGGATCTAAAGCCGGTTAACATATTTTTAGACTCGCATGATCAAATTAAAATCGGCGATTTTGGTCTGGCTACAACGAGCTTTTTAGCGCTACAAGCGCATGGTGCGTGGACAGGTTTTAGGATGTAAGATTGTAACTAATTATGCGCTATCTTTTAGCCGAGTATCCATCGCATTCAACCGTTCAGCATGTTACCTCGACTGAGGATGGCACCGGTACGGGTAAAGTCGGCACTACGCTTTATGTGGCACCAGAGTTGACGGGCAACGCCTCCAAGTCCGTATACAATCAAAAGGTAGACATGTACACCCTAGGCGTTATATTGTTTGAAATGTGTCAGCCCCCTTTCGACACAAGCATGGAACGCGCACAAACTATAATGGCTTTAAGAAATCCGTCCATAGTCATACCAGAGAGCATGTTGCAGGATACCAAATACGAGAAGACTGTCAAGGTGAGATGTGGTTCAAAATTTGATTCAAAAACTAATTTCTTTTTATTGTCAGATGTTGCGTTGGCTGCTTAGCCATGATCCTGCACAAAGACCAACAGCCGAGGAGCTGCTTGTCTCGGACTTGGTGCCACCCGCTGAGCTTGAGGCTAATGAGCTACAGGAAATGCTGCGTCATGCCTTGGCCAATCCACAAAGCAAAGCCTATAAGAATCTTGTTGCGCGCTGTCTGCAACAGGAAAGCGACGCAGTGCTGGAGCACACCTATCATCTAAGCAGTAGTCGCGCCATGAAATCATGGAATTCGACCATTGTTATTGATGACATAGTTTCGCTCAATCCGCTCATCGAATTTGTCAAGGCTAAAGTGGTCAACGTATTTCGCAAACATGGCGCCATCGAGGTAGACTCGCCATTATTGTCACCGCTGTCTTCGCGTAATATCAATTCCAGTGCCAACAGCAATGCGGTTCATCTAATGACCCACTCTGGTTCGGTGGTGCTGTTGCCCTGCGATTTGCGTACTCAATTCGCCCGTCACGTAACCATGAATGGGGTGAATCTCATACGTCGCTACTGCGTGGATCGTGTTTATCGCGAGGAACGCGTTTTCAATTTTCATCCGAAGCAGAATTACGAATGCTGCTTCGATATCGTAACGCCTAGCACAAGTAGCCAGCTGGTGGATGCGGAGCTGCTCTCACTGGCATTCGAAATAATCAACGAGTTGCCCCGCCTCCGCGAACGAAACATTGCCATACGCATGAATCACACAAATTTGCTGCGCTCCATTCTTATATTTTGTAATGTTCCCAAGTCGCAGTATAGCGCACTCTTCGAAGGACTAATGGACTTCATTGAGGGGCGTATTTCACGTTTTCAGTTCCATTCAAGCATCACGGCGATCATGGACAAGTCTCGTACCTCGGCACAGACTTTGATGGATATGATGCTAGCAAACTTTTTGCTCACAGGTTCCAGGAGCAGCGTGGATGAATCCGCCTTAAAATCGCTGATGCGCGGCAAGGGTGAAGCTGCTTCTTTGGCACGCGGCGCTTTACGGGAACTGGAGACTGTGATTGGACTAGCTTACAGTCTAGGCGTGACGGTAAGTATTTGGCTGACAAGACGTGAATGCCATTTCATACGTTTCTCATTGCTTATCCATAGTGTCCGATAAACATCTGGGCTGGTCTTCCTATTAGCTTTGAACGTGCCAGTAGCGGTGGTATTGTTTGGCAAATGACCGCCGATCTTAAACCAAATCGTTCCGGACAACCATCGGTGCTGGCAATGGGCGAGCGCTATGATACCATGCTGCATGACTTCCAAAAACAGGCACAGAGTTTCAATGCGGCGCTGCCAACGCGTGGCGTACTCAGCGGCGCTGGACTCTCCTTTTCTTTGGATAAACTAGTTGCTGCCGTGGGCAAGGAGTATGCCAAAGATTGTCGTGCCATCGATATTGGCATTTGCGTGTGTGGCACACGACCACCGCTCAAGGATGTCACCTTCATTATGCGTCTACTCTGGTCCGTTGGCATACGATGCGGCATTGTGGAGACAGTCGGTAGTGGCGGCGATGAGGCGCAGGACTTGTCTCGCCTGGGTGCGCTGCATGTCATTTTGGTAGCAGAGAATGGTGCATTGCGTGTACGCTCCTTTTATGGACATCGCTTCCAAGAGCGCCATCTGACTCGCGCCGAACTGGTCGAGTTCATACAGAAAATGCAGCGCAGCGATGCCATCAATGGCGGAGCGGTTGGTGGAGGTCCAGACTACGCCAGTCAACTGTCCAGCATGAGCAGCAGTGGCGGTGGGAGCGGACGCGGTGATAGTGCAATCAACTTGTCAGCGTTCAATGTGACTAGTAAAAACAGCTACAGTCAGCTACCGTCTGTGCAGGTAACATTCCTTACCCATGACAAGCCCACAGCCAACTATCGAAGGCGTTTGGAAAATCAGGTGGCGCAGCAAATGAGCTCAACGTTGTCGCAGTTTATCAAAAAGGAATCGTTTGAAGTGCTGGTGGTGGAGCTGCCGCCAGCAGTGGTTAATGCCATAGTTGGTGCCATCAATCCTCGAACGCTACGCAAAAACGAGACTGAACCCGAAATGACTTTTGTGATCGAAAGGTAAGAGCCTTATAATTCAAATTCAAATCGACACTATCTACAAGAATCTTTTTATTTTTAGATTTCCAAAGCATAAACGTTATATATCTGAGATATACGATGAGATCGTGGACCATTTGAGTGATGCCAAGACACCAGTTGTGGCCTTGTACAGCATTTCCGATTCTTACTATCGAGTTATCATCTAGATGCTGTTTGTTCACTTACCGTATCCTAGCTATGTGATACTAGGACAAAAATCCAATTTATTCAAACCAAGTTACGAATAAGTTTTAAGTTAACTGATGTTGTCTGCAATAATTCAGCAATTAGATTTCTTATACGTTGGACTCAGAGGCCAATTTATACTTATTTAACAAACAATTTATTTTTTGAATATGTGAAAAAAATATTTGTTTTTTACAAAACTAGGCAAAAAAGATGGTTAAACGAATTGCAAATTGGACCTTTAACAAGATTTTTGTAATAAACATTATTTCATAGCTAAGCCTAAAAGATTTATTTAAAATAAAGTCTCTTTGGCATAAAAGCTATATTTGAGTTCCAAATGCCAATACAAATTTAAAATTGTTTAATCTTAAGTTCCCCTATGGATGCAATCATCCATTTGCAACGTACCAAATTTCTTAAACTTTACATTCAAATGTATGCTAATAAACTATTACACTTAGCTCGTATTTAAGTTGATTTGTTTAATGTACATACACGAAATTTGTAACTTAAAATATAATCGCATGTCTAACAACAGGTTAACAACATCCTAAACTGTACAACACTTCGAAGAATCCCAAGTGCCAATTTCATGCAACCTCACGAGTTGTTCTCTCCGGTTGCCTTGTTTAGACTGCGTGCAATGCCTACGGCTGGGCCCTGCAGTACTTTGCGCGAGAGCCGCATAAATCCGGAGACGGGGTCGCGACCAAAGTACTTGACTTGTATTTCCTGGTCTACCTCCAAACCTAATGCTGACGGATGCGCAATCTTTCGTTGATCCAGCTGCGAGTTGTGCAGCAATGCTGGTGGCATGCTGGGATACAATATAACCATGACCCCTGTATCGCGCAGCTCGGTGATTTTGGCAGTGTAGATTCCACCGAACTCCAAGTCCGGCACGCGTTCCTTGTGCATGTAACCATCGATCATCTCCTTTGCTTCATCTAGCGCCGATTGGGATGGTGCAAAAACCGTAAAATTGCTGTCGTCTGCAGCGGTCAAGGTGGTGCCCGTTTCCAAGTAGATGCGCTTCATGTGCAGCCCACTGGGTCCAATCAGCTGAGAGCGTTGATGTGGCTCGACAACGAGACTTTCACTAACTGGCCAGCAATCCTTGCGGTATTTGCTGAAGCAAACATAAGCAAAAAAATTAGTCAAAAGCCAGAGTCAAGACGTTGGTGCGCTTACCGTGGCTCCCTGATTGTGTCGCCCATGATATCTAGTATTTTGGATTTGGCATCTGTGGCTTTTTGCAGCGATTCCATTACCACTTTAAGCGGTATGCCAGGTATCTTTAGATCCGCTTGAATAGCAGTGAACCCTTTGCGTGTGCCCGCCACTTTCATGTCCATGTCGCCCATGTAATCCTCAATGCCCAGTATGTCGGTCAAAATGCGATAGTCCTGCAGATGCTTCGTGTCATTGTTCTCATACTTGGTAACCAATCCAATGGCCACGCCGGCGGCAGGCGCAGTGATCGGTACACCTGCATCCATAAGAGCTAGCGAGCCGCCACACACGCTGGCCATGCTGCTAGAGCCATTCGACTCCAGAACCTCCGATGTTAGGCGTACTGTGAAGGGATAGTCGTGTGGGAGCGTGGGCAGTAAGGAACGTTCAGCCAGAGCACCATGACCCAGCTCACGTCGTCCCAGTGGACCAATACGACCCACCTCGCCAGTGGCATATGGAGGGAACTCGTAGTGGAGCATAAAGTTTTTAGCCTTCAGACCGCCGCTGTCCAGTGCTGCCAATGTGTCCAGCTTCATGGCACTCTCCGGCGAGTCGAGGCTAACAGTGCAGAATACCTGCGTCTGGCCACGTTGAAATAGGGCGGAGCCATGCAACGGTTTGTACATGTCCACCTGGCAGTTTATGTTGCGCAGACTGTCGTAGTCACGACCGTCGCAGCGTCTATTGCTCTCGAAGATTAATTCACGAAAAATCGATCGGCAGGTCCTATTAAACTCCTCACCGATGGCGGCGGGATCTGTGTCTGGATAGGAGGACCACACCTTGTCAATGACATTCGCACGGACCTCGTTGACGGCGGTGTCACGCGAGATTTTATCATGATGCGCATCCTGGAAGATTTCTCGCAATCGCATCTCGCACATGCTCTTCACAGCTTGCACCAGCTCTGGCTCCGGCTCTGGCAGTTCATCTACATCACGTTTTTGACGTCCATAGGCCTTTTGGAGTCGTTCAATTTCGTGTATGATAAACTGGGCTTCACGCGTACCCTGCTTGATGGCTTTCAGCAGATCCTGCATCAAGACCACATTGCCTTTGCCCTCTAGCATGACTACCAGATTCTGTTTGGTGGCCGATACAACCAAATCTAGTTGAGACGATTGTAGTTCACGTCTTGTCGGATTAATCAGCACCTCGCCATCGGCCAGGCCAACACTGGAAAGGATTACATAGCGAATTCAAATAAGCCATATTATTTTAAGGAATTACACAACTCCTCACCGTACAGCGCCTATAGGACCATTCCAGGGTATGTCGCTCAAAGAGAGCGCCATGGATGCCGCATTGATGGCCAGCACGTCGGGTGAGTGTACAGCATCCATTGCAAGCATGTTGCACACTAATTGCGTCTCATTGCGATAATCCTTGGCAAAGAGTGGACGCAACGAACGGTCTATCAGACGCGCCGACAGTATCTCCTTCTCCGATGGTCCCAATTCTCGGCGCATAAAGTTCATCGGAATGCGCCCAGACGCCGCGTTTTTTAGTCGATAGTCAACCACCAGGGGCATGAAGCTCTGTCCAGGCGTTGGTTTCGCTTTAGCTACCGCTGTGACCATAACCGCGGTATCACCCATTTGACAAACTGCGGTGCCATTAGCAAAGCGCGCCAGCTTGCCCGAGCTGATGGACATTTTACGCCTGACGAAGGAACACGTTATGAAATTATGTTTTTGTGGAATGATTTGTACAGCGCCTTACCCATTGCTGAAGCTGACCTCCACGGAGGGCACATCGCTGTTGACGTTGCTTTGTAGGCAACGCCGGTTAATTAAACGCGCTGCAGCATTGTATTTTAAGCGATAGTTTAATAATTTTAAAGCTTTCCTCGTAAAAATCATGGCTCGAGGCGCGCGAGTTATCTAAAATTTGCCGGTTATCTCCGGCTATAACGAACCTCGTGTTACCTTCGCGTAAAAAAGTTTTGTTCATCAATAAAAGTATTTAACAAGCGTTAATATATACTAAAACATGTTTTAAAATTAAATTAGGCTTAGTAATTAATTTGTTTTGTTCATATTAATAAAAAAGATTTATTTGCTATATATTTCAAGCTATTGTGACGTCACACGATTAAAGTTTGTTCAAAGCAATCGACTGCAATTACAAATCGATAATATTCACATGTTTAGCAGAATCGGCTTCTGCTATGTTTCAAAGACTTATCGAAATGCAGCCATGTTGAGAAAACCAGTCTGTTAATATTACCAGAAGTCTGTAAGTTACACCATGTTAAATGCTGTGCCTGTTAATTAACAGCATTTGTGTTACGAACGGACGTGGGTGTATACCTCTTTTTTGCTAGCGCGGACGTATAATTTATTTAAAAAGTCTTGTTAATTAATACGCGTATGAGCCGCAACTAATTTAAATTGAACGTGTGTGCTGTGAACGCCAATTAAATCAAGTGCTTTAAATTTTTGGCATTCTGTGCTCGATCGCCGCGCTCTTGCTCTTTCGTGTGTGTCAGTGTGCGTTTGCTGCACGCAAGTAAAGTGTGCGTTTGTGTGTGCAAGTGCTTGTAAGTGTGCGTTTTGTTGGCCAAAAGCAAAAAGCAAAGAGAGCCGCTATAGCAGCAGCAGCAACAACAAAAAGAAGAAAAACCAAAATCGACAAATGCGGTCAAATTGAAAAGAAAAACAACAAATATAGTATTGGTGTCGGGCAACAACAGCACCAGCAGCAACGACAACAACAACAACAAGCAGAGCCAGAGGCAGAAGCAAAAGCAAAAGTAAAGCAAAGCAAAAGCAAACCAAAAAAACAAACGCAAAACTTGCCGAGAAAGCGTGCCGCCTGTGTCGACGTCAGCGTAGACGCCACAGCCGCTGCCGGCGGTGACGCCGTCGCGTGTGTGAAAAGCCGGAAAATTGTTTCAAAAGGCGTTGTCGTCACCAATACCCTTCCCAGCGCATTGGCTTAATTTGTTTATGCTGATCTACGGCTATTTCTAACGCTGTCGCTTTCAAAGTTGCGCCTGTTCTGCGAATTGGACGATTTACCTTATCAACGGCGCCCCCTTATCAGTCACATTCTGATTCAAAATACCAAAGCACGTACTAAAACCTAAACACAAGCTGTTGCCTCGACGGAAATAGCAACAAAATAAAGAGCGCAGCGCAAATAGACAAGGTAAAGCCTCCTAACCCAACACAACCAACAACCTTAACGCCCCCTTCCCAAATCTATGAATAAAAGAATAAGCAGAAAGAAGCGTTGCAATCGGTTGCAGCCGACTGCCCCATACACTGTTCACACTGGCATTTATATTTAAATGGACAAATGGACATGCTGAGGAGTAACTTACCAGCAGCTGAACTGCCAAATAAGTGCATTGCTTCTTGTTAAGCCTTTGAATATCTGATATTTGTCCAAAGCTCATATTCTTTAATCTCGCCTAGGCATGTATTCAAAACCTATATACTTAGTTTAAGCCTATTAACAGAGTATCAACAATCCAGCTGCACCCATTTGGCTGCCGCCTTTTAATTGTCACACCTCATTAGCTGGCAGCGCCGGCTGCATAAGTGCTTTAAAGTATTTACTGTAATTTACACGCTGTCTGTCCCGCTTTGCCCCAGCCGCGACGATGGACAACGCAATTTCATTAAGTTAATCGATGCCCCTTTGATGCTGCTGTTGCTGCTGCTGCTGCTCAGGCATTGAGTGCTTTATGGTCTGCCACAGCTACTCGCTTGCGCCATTGTCGCCTCCTGCCGCTCATGGAGAGTGAAAGCATCCGCGTCATTGTCTTGGTCATTCTTATCACTGCTGTTGTTCGTGTTATCTGCAAGGCCTTTGCAACCTCTTCTTGCCTCAAAAAAAAAAAAAAAAAAAAAAAAAAACACTAAAAAATAAATAAATAAAAATAAAAATAAAATAAAATAAAAAAACTGAAGCTCATTATGCTATGCGCACTTCCGGTCGTTGTCTGCTGTTTGTTCTCAACTTTGTCATTGTTTGTCTCTATTGCATGGGTTACTAATCGAAGTGGTGTTCATGTATATATATATATATATATATATATATATATTTGACATACTATTGATTTCGCATTAATATTTTATATATAGTGAAAGCGGTCATGAGCGCACACTCTAGTTTCTAATATGGAAGTTAAGGAGTCATATGCCGCAGTAAAAATAGAAAAAAACCTAAATTATTTTATTAATATTAACGAGTTTTTGAATATCTGATTATTTCAATTTGCCGAGCGTCTTCTGATAAAATAGTTGGAAAAGCGATAGAAAATCATTTGAATTTGGTCAGCTAGAAAAGCAGTTCATTAGTAAGTGCCTTCACTGTATGTTGCATAGACTGCGTCGGTTGATAACAGGCATTTAAATATAAATGACCCTTATAAAAAAAGATATATCATATTCATCATATTCAGTGCTTTATGTGTGCGAAATTGCTTGAACAACTCGCGCGAAGTGCTCGATATTTATGTAGTTATTTGCCATTGCGTTGTGCTGTTTTGTTATCTTCTTTGCATTTGCTCATGTTGGTGATGTTGTTGTTGTCTTTGTATTTTGTTGTATGTCATTGTAAGTGACACTGATTGCCGATTGCCAGACGGGCTGCATAATTAGGCAGCGCTTAGCATGCGCTGATAGCGTCAGCCGCTTCCGTTCCATCGCTCATCAACAGCGTTCGATGTTCCGTTTTCAATTTGAGAAGCCAACTGTGACCCGCCGTTAGCCATTGGCCAGTCAGAGTTGGCCAAGAGAGTTGACCACATGTGGTGTCGATGTTAGGACCTTCGTCATGCCTTTGTTATTGCCATTAGAAGCGGTCCTAGGCCAGAGGCAGAGTACTTTTGTGACACCATAAAAAGCATTCAAGTGCCGTAGGTTTGCGTCACAGTTTCAGGACTGGCACAAAACAAAAAGCCGAAGGAAAACATGATGTGTATATTGTCTGACTGCAAAGACAATAAACCATCAATGAGCAGGACTAGGCGAAGGACCAAACCCCAAAGCAAATAAAACTCAATCGAATATTATTATCAACAAGGACAACTACGACGACGCGCCCCACAACTGGAACCCCGAACCCATTCGCATGTTGGACTTGGACTCTAGCAATTGGGGATTGGCCACATGCTGCTCATCGTTTGCACGCGTCGTGGCGCTATTGAACTTAACGCGAACCCAGTCCTCGTTCAGTCCCATTCGCATTCTCATTCCAATTCCCGTTGCCTTTCCGATCCCTTTCCCATTACCGTTTCCAATCCCAGGCCCCGTTTTCGTCATTGGCTTTGGCTCTAATTTGGCGCGACTTTGACACTTGTTAGCCAATATGTTTTCAGCCATGTTAATGGCCAAACGGAATTGATATTAATTGCCGCACGCCCACGCACATTGGTGGTGGGCGTGGCAGCGGGCAACTGCCACGCTAAGCGCTTGTCCATTAGCCAGCCACAAAAATCGCATGAAAATCAGCTTAACTCATTTTTGCGGCAGCAACTAGAAAACCGAAAAAGAAGGCAACGGCTTATGAGCTTAGCCTCTACTGTATTGTGGTCGACTTTTCAATACCCTTCTCTTCAGCTCTGTAATTCGCTATTGTTGTCATAAAGAACGCTAATCCTTGAATGGAGCTATGATTGCAGTTACCTGAAACCCTTCGCATAAGCACCTTTTTTACACGCATTATTAGTTTTCCAGCTCTAGCTTTAACTGTGTGTGTGTGTGTGTCTTCTTTCAGTGCGTGTGGGCACATAGCCGTTGGCAGTTGCCTGGGCAGCGCGTTGTGACTTTCAATTCAATTAATCCAAGTTCTCCTACCTCGTGCAACCCCTGAGAAATTGATCTTATTACAATTTTTGTATGAACCTCTGATTGAATTGGGCATTTTTTTGATGCGACGATGATTGTCATCCCGTATCCGTATTCTGGGAACCATCATTTCTGTGCACATACATGTTCCAACAGCTGAATTCAATTAGACTTGACAACTTCCATTCGAAGTGTGAGAAAAGTTTATGCCGACACGAAGAGCAAGTAGAACTTCAAGCCACGGAGCTGTACACTAAATGCATTTTCTATAGCTTAAGGCGCTTTCAAATTTTATTGATTGATATCCACAATGCTCATTTTCTATTTCTATTAGAGACAGCAAACTGGTTTTAATCCAAGTTATGTGGAGCTTCATTAAAACAAGCTCACAATTTGGAATGACAAATTGAATTGTTCAAGGTTCACTGCTTCAAAACGTAAATTAAACTAAGATACCAAAGTAAGAGACATTTACTTACGTCTTCTACGAAAATTGAATTGATAAGTAATTACAATTTTGAAACAATCATAATTGAAATTGTTCTTCAAAGAAATGCACTTCTCCTGCACAAGTTGAAGACATAATCTTCGCATTGTGTTGTCTCAGAGTCTCTCGACTTGGCAACGGCCATAAATTGCCTTAAATTCCATTTAATCCCGCATAGTAAACATTCTGCCAACATTTGACTAGAAGACTCCAACGTTTACCAGCTGATGAATTAATATTTAAGTAGCCATCTAGTTGAGTAGTTCTCGTAAGAAGCGACTTAAGGACGCCTTGTGTTTCACTTAATTTCCTATGTTCAGCTGGCTTATTTCATGACGCCACGTCCTTGGCTACCTGCCACGTTTAGTCAGCCATCATTCTGATAAGAAATTTCAGCTAATCAAGCGGGTCTGGCGGACCGGGCTACCGGTGTGGAAGGGGCGCAGCAACCTGCCGTAATGACCTTGATAAACTTTTGCGTTTCGCTCTGTCAGTGGGCTGCTTTGCTTTCTTAGGATGTGTTGCGTCCTGTTTGGCTTACGGCCATTTTCTTTTCTTTTTTCATTGTTATTGTTCACGGTGTGTTTTTCCGAAAAAAACACTTTACATACTTTCACCTGAGAGATACTCACCTTTCCATACTCTATCTGCCTACATATACACAACGATTTTATGAATATATTTTGAGGAAATACATAAAACGCAAGTTGCCAAAAGCTAAGCTAGCACATACTTTAACATGAAGTGAAAAGTTCTTTAAATGTTTACTTAAATTTGAAAAAAAGGGAAGAAATAAAAATGTATTATATGGGTATCTAATGAATATTTGATACACACAATTTTATACACTTAATACAGGGTATGCAGGGCTTAAGTGTTTCCTTTCTGAGCTTTATTTTGGCTTGGGCCAGCCTTTTGTTATGCTGTGCTATTTTTTTTTTTGCTGCTGCTTTTCACTCAATGTTGATTAAAGACAAACCCTCGTCTTTTTGGCATGGCTTTGACTGAGTGTTATTGCCACTTTGACACGTCAACCTTTAAACCCGGACCGTTTTTACGGGTCTGTGCCTTACCTGTGCGGCGCACAAATTCAATTTCCCTGTCCTAGTTCCGACACGCAAATGCAGCCCAAAATATGTGAACGTACGCACATACACTGTGATCCATCAGCAGATGCCAGCAAATGTGGCCAAAAATTATTCAAAGTGTCATTGAAACTTTCTGTTGTGCCCGCACAAAAGACCAGGCTGATGTTAAATCATCAGCAGCTATCTCGCTGACTCTCCTCTCATTTGCCCCGACTCGGCGCGCGCTCGAAAATCAATCATTTGTGCATTGAACCCCGCCCCATTCGGCGACTGTGACAGCAGTAAATATGCATGGCCAGCGCCATGTGGCCAACACCTTGACACTGCGGCCAGCGACTTGGCAACATCAGAACACAGCACAAAAAAGCACAAAGCAATAAAGAACAAGACAACAAACATTCTACAGGCGATGTATGCAAAAAGACAGAAGAAAAAACTGGCTCATAATGCGCCTCAGGCTACAGCTAAAACTACAGCTACAGCTTCGGGCCCCGTCATCCGGGCCTTGGCAGCGCGTCCAATCGACCTGGCCTGGGGCGGCATACGTGTAGAATTCATTAACAATAAAGTGCAGCGAAGAGGCAGAGTCGGCGAGAAGGAAGCGGAAAGGGGGCGATGTGACTGCTTGGCTGCTGGGTTACCAAGAACTCACGGCAACTCCAATCCTGGGTGGTCCTTTTGACTTGGTCGCCGTCTGCTATGCGAGCAGCTGCCTTAAACGATTTTATATTGTTGCCACAATTTCGGTTAAGAGTAAAAAGGAACTGAGTTGAACAGCTCGTACATGCAGGAATACTTGACTAACCGTTTTTTATTACTTTTAGCTTAAGTGTTTAATAAATTTACTACATATATTTTATTTAATTTCTCTTATAGATATCTGCAATAAGGAGCTCAAGGTAAGCTTGCATTTTAATATAACTTAAAGAATACAAATTTATTGTATCTTTAAGGTTTCTTTGAAAGCTTAAACACACAGCTACTAATAGCCTAAAAATGTTGAATTTCCACTTCAATTTAGGTACTTAAACGCACGGCGAAGACGAATATACCCTACAGTGTAATCTGATACAGCATAAATTAATAAGCGAATCAGCTGAAAAGAAGCTTATATTATATTAAAATTGTTAGTGAATATATGAAATTTAGACAGATCTTAGACAATCGCTAGAACTAAATAAACTTCGAGCTAATAGTTGATCCATTGGGTTGGCTTTTAAAGCAAGCGATGTTCGATTCTGTTTAATCTTTGTATCTTTGTCTACGGCCCGTTAGCCATAATTTAATGCCTCTGGTTTTTATTTGGGTGTTGTTGGCAGTGGTCGTCGTGGTGCTGTTGTGCTCGCACAGTCATGAATTGATTTTTTTGGCACTTGCTTTAAAACAAACCCGCTCTGGAAAACTGACGCCTGTCGCCGATTGCCTCCCCCCGAAAAGCGAAATACGTATATCACGATTTTAGAATTTGTATATTCTATAAAAAAAAAGGGCAGCACTCTGCCTGACAGCAAGAGACAGCATGAAAAAACAACACCGAGTGCGAAAGAAAGTGAGAAGAGGAGAGACACTTGTACAAACATTTCGAGTGCTTAACTTTGTTCTGGTTTTTCTTGTTGTTATATAATTTTTTTTGTTTTTGATTTGCTTTTGTTTTTGCTTTTTGTTCTCCATAAACTTTTCCCTTTTGTCACAGCGCTGACATTTTGTCTGCTTCTTCCAGCTAGCCAGTGAGAGACAACATTTGTTTTTAACAACAGCAGCTGCAACACAATGGCTAAATGCATTTGTTGATGTTATCCGAAACTTTTACTAAGGTGATTTGCCAGCGCCTCTAAATAGTGGGCGTGTCAGTGGAAAATTGTAGTTTTTGTTAGTTTATGTTGGTGTCATTCAAACGGGAACAGTTTAAATTTACTAAACAAATAAATTTATATGCAGTAAATTGGTGGTCTAATGCAATTAGATCCAATAGCATGATATGCTAATTTACTAATATATTTATAATGAACATGATAATCCACATTCACACAATCAAGCCTTAAAGCAGAGATAAGTTCGGAAAAGGGAAACGATCGAGTAATAAAAACTATCCGAAATAATGCCAATTCCAAAACTAATTTATTTTTGACAAGTCATATGATGAACTCTTTTTCTAAGTAAGTTACGCCCTTCTTTAGGCCTAGTCCACATATTTGCATAGTTCAATAGTTAAGTAAAATATATACTTACTCAAACGACTATACCCTTTTTCTAAGCAAAAAACTGGTATTAATAAAAACTTTTCGCCTGCCACACTTGACAGCTTTTCAAACAACAAAAACTACATACATTCACACACACACAAATATATATATATGCATATATATACATATATATAAATACATATGTATATAACATATACGGATATATATACATACATATAGGGAACTTAGCGCATGGCTTGCATGCAAGGGACACAAATGTTGGGAGCTGCCTTTTAGCGTTTGCTACTGCTATTTTTACAGTCGCACTTGGCAACACACAAACTTGGCAAGTTTATGGAGCAGCCAATCTAGAAAGTTGGTCTCTCCCACGTTTGTCGCTCGTTCGCAGTTGTAGGAGACGCGAGCTGAGAACGGAGCGCATAGAGCGGCTCTTAAAGTGCGCGGCCCAATTGCCAACGACATCAGCTGACGGACACTTTGTCATTACGAGTTTCGCTTGAAATCTTTATGAGCACATAAATTTTGCCAATCGATCGTGGGACGCTCCATTTTGCCAGCTCGCCTACCTGTCTACTAAGAATGAGCGCATTTTTTCTTACCTTTCCCTTTTGTTTTTGTTTTTATTGCGTCTGACAACTTTTGACACAGTTGTCGTACATCAAATTGGGACGGCACAAAATGATTGAACATTTGCATTAAGCAAATGACAGATACAGGAATAAAATTTTTCGTTGCATGTACCTGAATTCAACGACACCTGCAATGGGATTTGAAACCCTACCGTTTTCTCGTTTGCAAATATTTGAAAGCCTTAAGTAACACAACACAAAACACGCTGCATATAGTCAATTATTGTATGTGTCTCATATAGCCATGACTTCTAATAAAGCCTATAGACGATTGTAAAGCTTCAGCGAGGAGTCGCGCCAGGTAGCTTTTAAATGTTTTATGCATGTACCTGTGCATGCGCATGGAAATTTCATATTTGATGTTTGTCTGCGCGCGTCCTGTGGCCAATTTGCAAATAGCCCAAAAAACAGCGCTGCCGTAACGGCAACGATAACGTCAACGGCTGCATCAAAACTTTGAGCAAATATTGACATTGTTTTTCGCTTTTCTTTAACATTTTCCAACCGTTTTTATTGCACGTAGGGTAAATAAAACATTTAACCGCTATGCATATGCATATGTATATACACACGCACACATACAAATGCATGCCACTGCGGCTCAGCTGAGCTCAGCTTAAGTTGAGTGACATTCCAGTTCTTACTCACCCTGAACCGTCCCCACCTGTGCCCGCACCTGCATGTGGCAGGCAACGTCGTGGTCAGCGTCGCAGCGTCATCATCAGCGACGACTGTGGTCGATGCTGCTGTTGATTTAGCTGGTGGCCTCGGTCCGCTTGCCGGCTTTTGGCTGTCTGCAGAGCTTACTTAACGACCTGGCCTGGCCTGACCAACTAAAGTGTCTTGGCCAGCCAAGGGCTCAGCCAGTGCTCGATTATATCCTCATAATATTCATTTTAATATTTAAATGCATTTATGACCGTCAGCATGAAGGTCCTAACAGTGTTTGCTTGCTTAAGCTGCCACATAATTACATTATATACCCTTCATCAACCACGAGAATTATATATATTCCTGATTAGGAAACACAACCGAATTTATATAGTTTTGCCTGTGTGTTTGAATAGGCCAAAAGGCCTGAAGCTCAAAATAATGACTGCTTGAAATCTGAATTAAATTTTGATGCAAAATCAAAGTGAAGCAGAAACTTCATGAGAAAATTAGTTCAGCTTTGACTAAACTTGAATGCAAAATGAATTGCTTTCATATTTGTATATAGTGAGAGGCTTATACAGCGAACAACTCTGACTAAGTTTCATATTTAAAATTATTTCATTAAATACATGAGAGAATTTAACTCAATTGTGAACAATGGACGTTACTTTGTCGGTTGCTATTGATACACCTTATATGAATAGCTGTTCCCAATAAAATATTGAATGCGGTTCGGAATTATTATCTTTGATATCTGCGGCAGGAACTGATATGCATAAAGAATTCATATTCGGACAACTATGCATATATAGAGTAATCCATGAATTCAAAAAAGAAATATCGAATGCTGAATGCTGAATGTGTGCCATGTGATTGCCATTTGGCATTGCAAGTGCAGTTGCAGTTGCTGTTGCAATTGATTGATAAATTCGTTAGCGGGAATATGTAAAAATAAGTAGAAAATAGAAAATGTTGCGCTTTATTCTCGTTGCTATTTGCAATTTCGATTTGTAAGGCAAATATACTCGCGCCGGACGTGCGAGCCAATTTGATATTTGCATGCAGATGTATATTGACATATGTACATACATATATATATATATATATGTATATATAAAAAATTCTATATATATTTATATAATATCGATTGATATGAGTATTACGACATTTGAATTAGCAGCAGGGCAACCTGCTGGCGCTGTCAGGGCTTTTGGCTGTGTTTGCTTTAGCTGAACTCTTATTTGTTTATGCATTACATGGCCTAATGCCGCAAAGGCTTGACCAACGTCCATTCATAAAGCTGAAAAGTCAACAACAGCGCGACCAGCAACTGCTACACCAACCAGCAGTAGCCGCGAGCAATGAGCGTTTAACGCAATTGTTAGCCTTGTGCCAGAAACCAAATAATAGTAATAATGCGAAAAAAAACCGCAAAGAAATCATGAAATGCCGAGGGAAATAAAACACGAATCAAAAATAAACGCCACGAGTTTATGAACATTTAAAAATCGCGCCGCCACTTTGTGTTGAAAATTCAATTAAAATGGCAGCATGTCGTCGCGTGCAATTAATGCAAATGGCCAGAAATAAAACTAAATCAAGTCGCAAATCGGACAAAAGCAGAATTCATACCAGGCAGCAGGTAAGGCTGTGGCGAGAGCTCATAATGCATTCGGAATGAAATGTAAACACGAAAATCAGCCAAGTTAATAAAAATATTTTTCCAATTCGCGTTGCATAAACTAGAATATTGAAATGAAATCAAATCAATTGAAAATAAGAGAGAACGAACAGCCAACGGCGAACGGCGAAAACAAACAGCCAGAAAAGTGAAAATATTTGCACAATGCTGTAAGAGCTGTAAATACACGCCATAAACAAATGCAATAAATCGGCAAAATACAATTATTATGCAAAGTCTTCAACAATACGACAACGGCGGGCTGCAAAACAATATTAAATGGCAAAAGTAAAGAAATGAAAAGTAGGTAAGTGGAGACGAACGCGTGTCGAATAGTATTTGAAAACGAGTTATTGACAAGACAACGCTTAGACGCTTTTAAATACAATGATTAAGTTAATGTTTATGCCTTGTTATTGCTGTCGTTGTCCAAATGACGTCACAGTGACGTCAAAGCGATCCGCTGTTATTTATAGCAGGTGCTACCCGAGGCAACCGAACGCCGATTCGATCCGATCCAAACAGAGGCCCGTGGCCTCCGAGGTGGGGCGAGCGGCCAGCAGTGAAAGGCAAAAGCCAAATTAAAACATACACACTGTGTCAATAAAACATCGTCATAGTATTTAAATGAGGTTTGACAGCCACACACACACACAAACACATAAGTGCGCTAATGCGTATTTATATATGTGTACTCGTGTGTGTGTGTGTGTGTGTGTACTCATATATTA